TTCATGAAGCAAAACCATGCATGATTCCACGATTCCACGATCTACGAGCGTCATTTAATCCAATCTTGAAACGCTATAAAAAGGATAAAGCTCTCGGCGTTGGTCAATCCCTGAGCGATTCCACGCCATGCACTTGACTTCATTAAGCGTCGTCGGTGATGACTGAATGCACATCTGGTCTATATGATGACTGGCGGTGGCCTACAGATTTATCGACCCTGTGCTGCTATCTTCCCAGACAAGTGTGGTACCAATTTGCCGACCCTGGATGGATAAAAGCCTTGGCGAGCCTTAGGAGTGGGGAGCGATCCTATGTGCATTGTAGAGTGCCTCCGACCACTGCGTTACACGCGAACCACTATAGACCGAAGAAAACTGCTATAGTGCAAATATTGAAGCAAAGACGGAAGCTTTTAAAATGAAAAATTGAAATGTGGGAGAAAAAACCCCTCTTACAGAATGAATTTGTAAAATTCGTAATGGCAAAATCAGCATTTATCCAGGAATCAACCTTAATAATCTGACGAAATCCCTTCAACTTATCCCTTCACTCTTCAACTTTCCAATATAAACATGACTACATAACAATATTCAAACTGCGTTTGGTAGGCTGCCCTATTTGAAGAACATATTTTATTCTCATTTTAAATAACATATTTTCACATCTACTGTGAGCATTTCAGCAATTCTTGCACTTGATTCGTTTCTTCGCATTCATCATTCATGAAGATCTGCTGTTGCATGTGGGTTCGGCTGCTGCTAGAGAATCTTTGACCTTCCTTATGATGTTACTGACTACTAGTCTAGTAGATTCTTCCTGGAGTCTTGGAATAAAAGTGCTAGGGAATTCCCACGTGAACTGGAACAATTGGACTGATCGCAAACAAATCTCGTAACAAATTCTCGACCCTCCACTAGTATGGGAGCTTTGGTGAGCCCGGGCGTGGTCAAACCAGAATCATGCTCATGATGGTCGGGACCACTACCACTGTGCTACTCGCCAATTTCGAAAAGATGCGGTACATTAGTCAGCCTAGATAAGAGTAGATAGAGATTTTAAAGAGATGAGGGTACAATTCAAAAGTTAAATTGATATCCACGTAAGTTTTCGGTGTCTCAGCTATTCAGTAACCTTGCTGTGCTCAATCACAAGAAGGCGACGGAGACTACAACGGGACGAGAAAAAGAAAGAAAGTGGTAACAACACAGCCTAGTAGAGTAATAAAAAATACCTGTCGTGATTGGCTACTGGCTAGAATTGCTAAGTGGGAAAGAGTTAAACACGAGACTTCAGGTCGTCTGCGATCAGATGATGACCGATCACAACAAGAATGGCAAAAATACGAGGAACCATGTGCTGTATAAATTGGCATATGTTATCCTCAAAATATGGCCGTTCTTCGAATTTATATACAAGTGGCAAGATGACTGGCGTATGACCAACAGGGAAGGATTCGAAAAAAAAAAAGAAAAAAGAACGATAGCAAGCATTTGTCATTTCTGTGCTATTTGAAAAATCAGCCTCTTGACATATGATCAGCAGTAAATCTCAAACGATGTGGCGTAAATTGACGACAGAATGGAACGAATCGAGTAGGGCGGGGCTCTGTTCTTCACACAGCAAACACGCGCCGACGACGACAGTACTATCGATCAGCTGCGGTGGAAACAGAGTTCAGGATCACGTTCCCAGAGTTTGTGATGGTGAATGGAATCAATCCTCTGGTCGGAAATATATTTCAACTGCTTGATAAATATGAACTTTCTAGGTCAGTAAATATGCTGTAGAGACAATCATCGATCGCTCTGCGTAACAACACATGACGACGACACCGCGCCCAGCGCAGAGACTGGTTGAGGGAGCGACATAAAAGTGCTAACGACGACCTATACACAGCAGTCTCCATGGAACCACAGTGGATCTCGTGTGACAGTGAACATACGGGAACATTAGTTCGTCCAACTTACATCATAAAAATAGCGCTGAAAAAAGGACACAGTGTTTCCGAGGTGATGCGATTATGAAAATTTGGATGTCGAAACGTGACGGTGACAACCTCTAAATGAACGATGATCGAAAATATCACCGATTCAGAGACCCTCAGTAACATGCGATACTGGTAAATTGAGCTGCTTGATTCTCATGGTCTTAAAATACAACATTTATAAGAGTTTCAACAAAATAGTAGCTTTCATAAATAATGAAGAGTTCACAACATGATGATCTTGAGCAGTAATACCAAGTTGGTGTTATCGACATTTCCTGTCTTTGCCTCCTTTCTGTTTTTTTTCTCGATAAAAGAATAAAAGGATAAAGCTTCCGGCGTTGATCCCCTTAGTGAGCATGGAGCGCGGGGACCGATCTCACTGTATCGTAGGGCGTCTCCGACCACTACGCTGCACGCGCCCCTTTTTCTCGATATTTCATAAAAATCACCAAAGAGGTTGAAGATGTTCCTCCGTGAACTCTTGATCACGTGAGGCCAGCTAAAACAATCTGTCGAGTCACTGAACACAAACGACATACGGAACTGCAATGAATTAACAAATAACAACGGAATTTGTTCCGCTACGATCTATCACACTTCAGTGGAATTGTTCGCATAACGATTACAGTTACATTATGAAGCGACTGTGCTTGAAGGTATTGGTCCAATATTTTACACATTTTCTCTTTCCTGTTAGGGAAAGCAAGAATCAATGCGTCGAAACCAATATGGGGATGTATCGCGTAGAGTGAATGGCAGGATACTAAATTAAATGGATAAGATGAAAGAACTCACTTTTTCCTGCCGAATATCATCGCTTCCACTTCGTTTACGGCGAACTTGAATTCTGGAAAGAAATCGTCAAAGCCGATTCGAATAACTATCCCTAGAGATCAACGACTGAAAATGAACGGAGACGAAGAAGGTAGCTAGAAAGTAGCGCTTATATTTGCGATCTAACGATGCCTAACCAATGTTACGATGTGAACTGAATAAATCTCTCTCGTTAGATGGAAATCGCTATGCATCTGTGCCGACCCAAATCGTGTTTTATCGGAGTAGCCCAGCGCTGGGAGAACCTGGCGCTATCAGGATACAATGCGAAGCCAGGACCGGCTATAAGATACGCATACTGTTTATTAATTGACAAGGAAAATGCTTCTTTGAACGCTGAAGAGCGAATGAAGGACTAACACAGTACGTTGTATGTCAGTTTTTTGATAACTGCAGGTTGCTTCCCGATAACAAGAAGCTCTCTATGCTGATCAATCCTGAGGGATGCGTCAAGCATTCAACTTCACTAAGCATCGTTTGGAGTTGATTGAATGCATACTTGGCCTTTATAATGACTCGCGGCGGCCCACCGTTGTATCGAGCCAGTGCTCCTATCCTCCCAGACAAGTCTGGTACGGTCCCATGTGTATTGCAGTGCGGTTCCAACCACTGCGCCACACGCGCCCGTTGTTTCCCGATAACTAAAGTAATTGGAAGTCCTGGATCCCTTCAATTAATAAAGTTCCATATGGACCAAATTGTATTAGCTTAAAAATGAATGAGGCAATAACTTGAGGGTACAACGCTCGCGTTAGAATTCGCATCGTTCGCAAAGCGTTAAACATCTCTTGTACTTTTACCACAGCAAATTGGCACGAAACATTGAAGGGAAAAAGTGGAACGGAACGTTTAGCACTAAACACTACCGTTTTCTTTCTGGATCGAAACCACATGGCACATACCTTTGTGTTCTTTCAACTGTCCACTCAACTTTAAGAGTAAGCTACTAACATCGACTGCAGTTAGAACCACTTAAGCGAGATATCCATCGAGGTTCCTTTTCTCAGCAGAAAGCTACTGGTAACTACACGTAGCTCTCTTGACATTCTTAAAGTTTATTGAACTGCAAAAGCATTTAGAGTACAAACAACTACTACTAGAATCCAAAGCGGACCCAAAAACGTCCCATAATTAGTCTTCGAGGAGATAGAATTGAAAGCCAACACAGGGCAGAGCTCAAGTTCGTAACACTGTAGCGTCTAATAAGACCGACTGCACCTCAGCTTCCAAGGAAACTTCAAATCCACCAACCAAATCCAGCGCCTAAACCGAACACAATCAGGAAGTAACAAGTGGGAAATATCATATCCAGGTGGATGATCCCATCAAAATGTCCTCACAATCCACATTACTATATCTTATGATTTCGGAGACTTTAATAAGTAACATTCCTTTTGCGCATAAAAAAGATCTTAGTAGGAGAAAATCTTGTGAGGGAAAGATATTCGTAATAAAAAAGGATAAAGCTTTCGGCGCTGATCAATCCATGAGAGACACGCCATGCATTCGACTTCATTTCGCATCACTGGAGGTGACTAAGCGCATATCTGGCATTTACAATGACTCGCAGTGCCCTATCAATGTACTGAGCCAGTGCTGCTATCCTCCTAGACAAGCCTGGTACGAATCTGCCGACCGTGGAGGGATGGAAATCTTGTTGGGCCTGGGGCGCGGGAGCGATCTCATGTGTATTGCAGGGTGATTTTGAGCACTGCGCCACACGCGCCCTTTTTATTTCGTGTTCGTAATACCCAGACAAATTGCCTTTGTTCTTCTCATAACGAAGTATCCACACAAATCCTGTACTTCTAAAAGTGCGATTGGCGAAATAGAACTTTTTATGGAATCATCGGAGACAACAAATAAAATTGAGAACCGGTAACAATGAGGACAACACGAATAAAGGTTGAAATGATTAAACCATATCGCCAACATGAATACAGTGCCTAAATCAAGGACAAATCCAACAACGGTAGCCAGTTGAACATATGAAAATCAATTGAAAAACATATTTGAACTTATTCGTAAGTATCACTTGGTATGGATGAAGAATAAATTTTGATAGAAACGATGGCATTTGCAGTATGGAACACAAAAAAACGATTTCTCTGCGCAGTTCCCAAAACTTGAGCCAAGATTTAAAGACCCAAAATATCCAGCGAATCATCTTCCAAGTGGTTACATTTTGGTAAGTGAGACTACCCGGTCTGAATTACGCCTTGTCATATCTTCGTCCTCATTACAAGAAACGCTTCCTGAGACGCTGTCATCTTCAACGTCATCTGTTCCTTCCTCGTCGTCTTCTGACTCATCACTGTCACTAGACAGAACTGTATATTCAGCAAAATTTCGACAAATAATAGATGAACGTTGCGATTCTTGACTAAACTTGTTTTGCTAACAACATCAAACAAGTGTCAACTTTCGCAACTCAGACGACCTCGCAAAAACAAAAACAAACCAGTTACAGAATTATCTAAAAGAGTAAAAGTTCATCAAAAACCTACGTAGAACATGACTTTAGATTAGAAGAGAAACTAACCTTGACGGGAGCATATCGTCATCAATCATGGAATGCTCCCCATTTACTCCACGTTTAGCCTCTCTGGTCATCATTTTAGCTTGTTCTTCAAATCGAAGTGGCCACCTAAAAGTCATGTGTTAACCGTAACATAAAAACATGAAACAGACCTTAAATTTTTGTGAGACAATGCACCTATGCACCTATTCCATGCGATTTTCAACACCCAGTTAGTTAGAAAACGCGCTTAATTGCATGTGATGCTACAAAAATGTGGTGCACAATACTATCTAAGAACATATTAAACATAACCTTGCGTACTCGCTGCGTAGGAGGACATTTACTTTTTTGTCGGTTATGAACTCTAATAGATATAGATGTATATATATATATATATGTATGTATATATGTATATATGTATATATATGTACATATATGTATATGTATATATATATACATGTATATGCATGTATATATTTATATATAATGCTTAAAGCGCGTATAATGCAGTTGTTAGAAATCCTCTGTATTGTTTGCCATTTTGATACATTCCCCCACCTTTACCAAGCTTTTCATCCCTCCTGACTCCGCAAACTAGTACCACACTTGTGGAGTATAAAAACTACTGACTTGATGCATTGCTAGTGCACCGCAAGAACAGGCCAGATGTGCATTCAACCACCTTCACGATTCCTGATGAAAGTAAATGAATTGCGCATCCTTAAAGCTTTGACGAACGCCGAACGCTTTAAACTCAGCGGCATCTAGAGGAAAACCTTGAAAGGATTTCCAAAACAGATCACCGATCCGAAGCTAAGACATGGTAACAGGCACTACAAAAGGATAGAAGCGGCATAATGGCGGTGGAGTCAAAAGATAAGGATCTTAATATGCGTGCATTTAATAAAGAGAACCATTCACATTTCCCATTGAAATTATGAGTTATTGAAAGGTAAATCCACGTAGAATTCTAGAAGCACCGAGCAACTCCAGGAAACTCTACCAATGATTTCCCACTGTTTAACAGCGAAGAAGTGCTTCGAAGTGTCGAATTTCAGTTTTCAAGTACACTAAAGATATCTTTGCAACCTTTTCACCGACGACAGTCCATAAAGTAGTTCGTAACTACGTTTCTGAAAAATCTAAGTGGAGAGAACAGCTTCTCACGAGCCACATTTGACGTAATATGCGTTGGATAAGCTATCGAATTGATACGAAGAGTATAGAATTCAAAAGATATGCACGGCAAAGTAAAGAAAGTGAATTGTTGAGACGAAGTCCGCTCACGTTGCCTCTTCCATACAACCACAAATATCAATGTGAATCGGGTGTTACAGGTTAAACAAAGTGCTGAGAGGAATCAGTATCACATTTTTCCTCTCAGGATTTAAGATGCTAATGCAGGTTTCCTAGGAATTAAGAAATGAAAACGCCATCAAATCTCAGGAAAAAAGAGAGAAAACAAACTTGTCTTTTGATCTTATGTAAAGCACATTTTCTTCGTCAAGAACGTGTTCGATTTCGGCTTTTACCTTAAATAACGTAAACATCAGTATAAAACAAGGTCAACTATTGGCAAAAGGGTAATACCTATCTCACTGATATATAAGAACAATTACAGAATGGAAGTTCAAAGATAAGAACTAAAATGTTACGCATTTTTAAACCCTCGCAAATGGCCTGATTAAGCTTAAGGTACTGCCTAACTACATTCTAACACCAAATCGTGAAGATAAATACACGACCACTTCCTATTACCACAGAAATACCTACCGATAGGATCTCTGCCCGTTCTTATGGCAAATTTTGCCCAGTGACTTTCCAGGGATTCTCAACAAGTACTCAGTGGCAACCAAACCCTTGCTTTTTCATACCGAAATAACTATTCCCGGTTAGAAGACCAAAGAGTTCATACCTAGATAGCATACGAAGAATTACCTCAGGATAGCAGTCATGTTCATATGAAGCAACGTTAGGGAATGTGTTTTAAAACAAAACTGTCAGTATGCAGGTGCACTTGTGCTGATCGTTCACAAAATATGTGAAATAGAAGAGCACGTCGTATTTCTCGAAGTTAATCATTTTTATTTACTTTAATTCCAAAGCAGGTTCGGAAAAGGAATTCCACGTTTCCAGTGATTATTTGACATAGAACAAGACATATGGCGAGTCCATCTTTAAGCCAATACACATCACATACAGAAACTCCCAGTACAGGGTCAACTACTGCTTCTCCTCATCAATGTGAAGGTAGGATTTCACGAATTCCTTTAAAAGGTAACGGTAACATATACTCTTATATTCTCACGGAGATCTACACTAGGCAAACCTTATATTACCCAGACTATTACCAGTTACCAGAAAATCTTTCCACTTCTTACTCTTGAATTCGGTCCGGTTAGTTTATCGACAAAGAATTTCGTGGTACACGATTCAGTTTTCCAAGAAGCCCAGTCCCCTAGCATACCATAGGAGCCCAAATCGACGACCTACCACTCGAAGTTTCGTCGTCCACGTTTTGTTAACAAATCAGTATGGATCGCAAAGAACATAATCCGAACAAATACCGGTTGGTATCGATCACACGTAGGGAAGGGCTTAATCGCATTGCAGCCGTTCAACAATGGGATGAAAACTCAGCGCCAACCAATCATTAGGAATTATCGACACCACTAAGACACCACACGACTCAAGGACACCTCCGGACTAGACATTTCATCAAACGGGTTTCAAGACGCGTCTAAAGAGTCACGTGACACGCACGTGACAACTAAGTATTTCAAGAAAAAGTGTAGAATGATGCACCTTACCACCTTCTTCAATTGGACGCAACACTACAAACTGGCCTCTTCGAATCCACACCGTCTTCCTGAATTTCGATGGCATACTCGCCACATACACTTCACCACTTTCGTCCTCAACCTTTAGATGAAAAACTGCTCACCAAGCAATCATAAGCGACAAATTGAAGCACTTCCAAATAAATATCACTAGACTGGCATCGGTTTAATGCTTAAAGGTTTAATGGCGAACAATAAGCTCACCTCATGAAGATTATTGCCTCTAGCACCTCTCACTTGGGCGATAATATCTCCTTCCACAGGTGTGTAGTACTCAGACACTACCTGTAAACTCATAGAAAATCGTACACAAATCAGCTCATAGCTTTCTTCTTTATTCTTAGAAAGACGAACTACCTTATTCGTAACATATCTGCGCTTAGTAGAAACCGACATGATCGGCAGAATTAAAGTTCCTGAATCTCAGAAAACTGCGAGATATAACAAGTAAACGTGGCAAGGTTTATCGAATTGTTAGAGGATAGAAATGAAGTGGGAGTAGACCTTGTAAAAAGTTACCAGGAACAAGTATAAAATAAGGTGGAACTGTGAGCACCATGAAGCACTTGTATTGGAGCACATCAACCACACTGCTGTCAAACGCGTACTTTCATTGTTTCAAACGTATTTTACTTAGTTTTCTGGTTAAATAGTGGACTGTGGACCATTTCAGCTTCTCTTCATAATTATCGATGTTTGAGTGTTATATGACTGAGATACTTCCCGTTGTGTTCTTCAAAGACAGGATAGAAGATAAAGGATAGAGCTCTCGGCGCTGATCAAGCGACTGAATGCATATCTGGCCCTTACAGTGATCGCGGGTAGCCTACCAATGTATCGAGCCACTGCTGCTATCCTCCCAGACAAGTCTAGTATCAGCTTATCGACCCCAGAGGGATGAAGGGCTTGGGTTTGGGCGCGGGGATCGGTCCCATATGCATTGCAGAGCGCTTCTGACCACTGCTTTACACGCGCCCTCGAAGACAGGACAACATCACAAAAAACTGAGTGGGTTCAGGAAATACAAAATGCTTCGAATTTGGGACGTTGATAGGTGAATTCCGATGTCAACGAGGTCATACTGAGCACCTTGAGCACCTCCACTACTCTTACCAAAATATATTCGGCACTAAAAAATCTAGGCGAAGTTCAGTCCTCCATAACCTATCCTGAACTTCGAGATTTAGAGAGATAACAACGAAAGTAGGATATAGGAGAGCAATCATTTTATGAGGTGTTGATGACTGATGGAATGAAAAGGGGAGTGGAGTCGACTTCAAAGGGTCGGAAATCACGTTAATTACGTTACGTGCTTGTGGACCACGTCGAGCACACGTCGATACAACTGGGAATGATCTTTAGATCACAGAAAGGACAACAGCCTTAACAAAGGACCGTCATGGACCTAAGCCGCACGGAATGGAATGAGTGGGCAGGTGCGCTGGTGCCTGCACGACTAGCGAGAACTGGTCGGTAGAGATTTTCTCTATCAAATAGATAATTCTCTACTTACCTAGCAAGTATTCTCTGTAATTCTGTGTATTTAATAAAGGGACTCTTTCTGGCGACACGACAGAGGATGTGATATGGCGGCACCATAGCTGCATCACCTGGTGGCTCCAATGGCATGACCAGAATTGGCTAGGTCCTCCGCACCTTGCTTAGTCGTATATGAGGAAGACCTCGGACCTAGACTGTGTTAAAGTGCGGAGATGGCCTAGCCAATTCTGGTTAAGCCAGTTCCACTCTGTCCAGGATTGCCACAATATCAGAAACTCATTTGCGTGGCTACATATGCTTTCGACTGAAAATATGATACTGCTTTACTACTGAACCAACACATGGTCATCCAGGCAGAAAACTTCGACGCTTTCTTTTGCGTTGCTTGGTGTTGGAACGTTAACCACAATTATAGCTAAAGTTGGGCTCATAATTTTTGTCTGATTGAACACAAGCGGATATGTTTTACGTAAATCAGAACAAAATGGTAAGAGAATGATCTCAGGGTAAAGAAAAGTGAAGCAAATGTAAAATTGCAACAAAAGGTTGCGGTGGAATCTCTAAACTGTTTATAGTACCTCAAACATTCTCTCACATGGTGTCAAATGTGTCAACTGTATCTCAACTTTTCTATTCTAATTTAGATACAGGGCGCGTGTAGCGCAGTGGTCGAAGGCGCCCTGCAATTCACGAGGGATCAACTCTCGCGTCCAAGCCTTCCGTCTCTCCGTGGTCGGCAAATTGGTACCAGACTTGTTTGGGAGGACAGCAGCTCTGGATTGATATATCGGTAGGCCACTGTGAGTCACTGTATAGGCCAAATATGCATTCAGTCACTTCTAATGATGCTTGTCGAGTGTATGGCGCATCCCTCAGGGACTGGTGAACGCCGAGAGCTTTATCTTTATTCTTATCCCTAATTTAGATACGAGCAAACATTTTTCGATTTACAGGACCCGACATCTCATGTATTGTGCGGATCGAAAGCTGAATGCTGATGGAATCTTCTCCGAAATCCTAGGAGGGCCATGCAAGGACGTTCACAGTTCTTTATTCTACGCAGGCGCCAGCTTTTGTGAACTGCACGGAGCGAGCCGATCTCTGAGAAGTCCGGTGTGAATCTCTCGACCCCAAAGGGACAGCGGCGTTACTGGTTTCAGAAGTAGTCGAACCAGAGTCCTGTACGTATTGAACAACGTCATTACCACTCGGCTACCTAAGCCACATCAAACATCAACAGCAAATAATCAAAGATTCAACAAAAATAAATGCATACCAACAGAGACAGTCATTAATTACAACGATTTCAATTGTTCATCACGTTTATACCAACATGAGTTCCTAAAGCACACGATAGAAACTCAACATCTTGCAGTCTGACAGTACGTCTACGTTCCCATTAGCAAACATTTCGCAGTCATTCTCTGTTGGGATCTGAGATAGATGTTTATTAAATAGGAAAAGTCTAGTATCTCACTATCGTGATAAAACTGACCTTCTCAATCCACTCGTTAATTGTAAACGGCAACTTTAAATGGGCCGATGCCGTTTCGATATCAGGGTTATGGATTATGAAGCAACCTTTCTTCGCGTGCTTGTGTATAAATTCGAAACAGTCAGCCTTTAAAGAAGTACAGAAAACCGAGGACGAAGGAAATTCTAACACTCCTGTAATGTTACCTGCTGCTCGGTATCCCAGAAGAAGGAGAAGACGTTGTTCATTACAATCAAGTCAGCCTGGGACACCACATCGTATCTGCTACGAACATCCGCACAAACCACTTCAATGTTCTGGAGAAACAAGTTTAGATGGATTCACAGCAGAAAAATTAGTGCCAAGAACAAGTGTTAGTGGATTAACGCGGACAACCTGTAGATTGAAATCGCGGATGACATCTCTTTGAAGTTTAACGAATTCCTCGTTTAGTTCTATGCCAGTGACAAATGTGTTACCGCACCTGAGAAGATGGGCTAAATCTCGGTTTACTGGCTATGTTCTACATCATAAAAGAAACCAGACCCGTATATAGAAGCAGCATAGATAACTGCACCAAGACGAGAACCTATGTCCAGAATTCGGAAACCATCTCTTTGTGATTTCAGAGGTACTAACTGAGTGAACATAAATTCGAGCTGTAAGCACACAAGAACTCTTAATGAAAAAGTGCCTTGATTTATTGCAACATTAACAGTTTCAACCAAAAGATATGGACAAAAGGAATAAAGCTTTCGGCGTTGATAAAACCCTTAGGGATGCACCATGTTTTCGACCTCATTAAGCATCGTTCGGAGGTGATTGAATGCATATTTGGCTTTTACAATGACCCCCGATGGCCTACCGAAGTATCGAGCGAGTGCTGCCATTTTCCCAGACAAGTCTGGTACCAGTTTTCCGAGCCCCGAGTTATGGAAGGCTTGGTGGGCACGGGCGCGGGGATTGGTCCCATGTGCGTATCACAGGGCGTGTACGACCACTGTACCACCTGCTCTTTTAACAAGATATGAGGTATGGTAATGTGAAGGAAAAACACAATAATTTACGACGTGTAGCTTATTGTTTAATAATAGAAAAAAGTTGTTATAGACAAAGGAAAAGAAAGCGATTTTCGGTAGTAAAAAATGTGTGGCAAATAGTTTTGCTGTGAGCAAAAAAGGAAATAAAGCTGATTAACTCACTTGACAATGGGCTAGGCTGTGGCTTATAAAATTGAATTTTTCGATGTTCTTCGAGCCGCAATCAGCGCAATACCTCCTTTAACAACAAATGCATTTCCACAAAGAATTTTTAACTTTTGTAATCTACAGTTCCGGTGGAGGATTCTCTTAATTCCACAAATGGTATAGAATAGTGTTGCTACAAAATAATGAACATATACCTTCCAAACTTCCCACTTTTCATCATTTCATGCAGAGCATAATCGTCATATAGAAAGCAATCCACTTGAATCTAAAATCGACAAAATAAAGAAAGAACTGAGAAACGGCGTTCGATCCTCGCCGCAAACACCTACGCTTCGGAGTTTTGCAATTATCTCAGCATGATTATGGTTGTATTTCACATAATACCCTGCATGAAAAATTGTAGTAGGCAGCAAATAAAAAGTTAACACAAAGGAAGAATGCTGCAAATGTACAGAATGTTCCACTAGAAAATGTAAAACGACATTACAAGAGTGACTTTAGCTTAATTATTCGTTTCTAGAAGTAAGGTCAGGGACACCAAGAGAACTTCCACCTAACTGGCACGATGTTGCTTCACTGAATTTCCTCAATGCTCCTCAAAATTTTGCTCGAGCGTTCCGTTTTCCTATCGGTAGGCCACTCATTAGAGCAAATGAGTTGGAGAAATGTTTATCAGCTTCCCGGAAAATATGAATGGACAAATAGACCGTTGGTTAAACATAATAAGACTGCAGAACCAGAAATGACTTTTGCTAAGGCAGCGAGTTCTCATACCGTGTTCTTCTCCACACAATCTGCGTCATAGCCACTGGTTGGCCATTTCAACTTTTCCGAAGTGACGGTACCATTCGGAAGCTAAAATTAGACAGTGAACACATACTGTAATGGTGTCACATAGCAACACACTCTAGCACAAGTAAAATAAAGCGTAGAAAGCAGTTGCGTAGTGAAAATCGATCAAAATCAAATTATTCGATCCTAAGGCGCGCGTGTAGGGCAGTGGTAGAAGGCGCGCTACAACACACATGGGATCGACCCCCGCTCCCCAGGCTCACGAAGCCCTTCATCCCTTTGTGCTCGGTAAAGTGGTACCAAACATATTTGGGAGGATAGCAGCACGGTGTCGATAGACTGGTATACCACCGCGATTCAAGGTAATAGCCAGATGTGCATTCGTTTACTTCCAAATGATGCTTAATGAAGTCGAATCCATGGAGCATCCTAAAGGATTGATCAACGCCCAGAGCTTTATCCTTCTAGCCTTTACTCGATCATAGTACATAGTGTCACCATCACCTGTATCACTTGTAGCCTCGTTGATCGTCGACTGACTCTAGCGGGCACCAGTGAATCTTCTATTTTATCTTGTCGCGTGCAAGAGTAGCCCAGTGGGCTCTGCTTGCTCTAGGGACTTGTCGAGATAGAACCAGCTGAGAGACAGGTTAAACGAAGGACCCGCATGGTGTGGTGGTGAAAGCGTTACTCCCCGGAAAAGATAATAGGGAGTTCGTTCCCCACCGCAGGCACCTGCGGTCCGGAGTTTCGCAAATATCTCAGCAATGTTGTGGTTGTCTATCTTCTAGGCTTTTCGTAAAGGACTCTGACCATCGAGTCGGTGGTCTTCCGGCAGTGCATTTAACATGTCACTGTCACCATAGAATCAGTGTCACCGTAGAGTCAACATTTGTCTACTTCTTCCATATTCTGGACAGTTTGTCGCATCTAATCCTTCAGTAGAATCAAAGGCTGAAGTTTAATATAGGCCACCACAAATACACCAACACCCTTCGCTTGGAGTTTTCCACTTTTTGCCAACTATTTGTATAGTCTTAAAAACCGATCTTGACTAAACCTCAGTAGCAATAATCAAGAACAGTCTATATGAATGAGCGAGCACTTAGTTGGTATCGAACTTTATTCGCCTAAGATGGTCCGTCCACATCCAGTCGTCGACGCATCGAATGGAATCCAGTGGAGAGAGCACCGCTCGAATGGCTAACTTCGCTCGGCGGTAGGACGGGTAGCACCCAAACGTTACCAAAAAAAAAAATAAAATTTTATAACAACCTCGTATCGTCTCAATCATACAGAATACTACTTTTCATGACTTTTCTTCAGGCCTAGTCCTTACTCCCACGATGCTTGCGGTGCACCCGTTCCATCAAATTTTTCCACAGGATATGTCTACGCATACCTTCACAGAGTTCGTCGAAGTACGATTGTTCTTCTAAATCTTTGGTAACACAATAGAGTAATACCTTTGTTCTAATATGGCTAGCGATGTCGCGAAGTTTATTGATAGCATCCACAACGAACATTGGTTTGGCGCACTCTTCACCTTCACAATACTCGGAATGAAGCCAGTCGATGAACTCTTCTTTGTCCTTTACGCGACGTATCAATGTTCTAAAGCTTTCTCTTGCCTCTTTTAATGATAGCTCACTTACTGGCATCACTTCCTGGAAAGAAATTTTAGTAAAAGATAAAGTATCCAGACATTTATGTTTAATACCATAAGCTCAGTACAAACTAGTCAAGATAGCGAAAATTAACGTCTCAGTTTGAAGCAGACATTTTCGCGTCGAATTGTAAACGCTTTTGCTGTGTTACATCTTGATACACATTTGACCTGATATTGCTATAAACTACATGAAAAATCAACATTATTGGTGGAAAAGAACATGTAGGACAGAATGACCTAACTAGGATAGCGGATGGTACGAATACATGCTATACACATGTTCTCAACATGCAGACCAGACCCAAGCCAAAAAACATCTCTGGAGTCTAAAGTTTAACCTTCGCAATCAAGACCTCGACAACTTTAACAATTATTTTAGGTCTCTGCTAATAGCTTTAATAACTATCACGAACCACATTCAAGGTCCACATATTCGTGCCACCATAAATCCCATGTAACTCATGTACGGAGTACCTTGATGGAAGTAAGTCATAAAGAACTTGTACTAAAAGCTGCGAACTAGGCCTCATTCCAGATAACCGCTATACAAAATTTGTCGTTGTAACAAATGCTTTAATGCTAATTCTCTGAGGACATGCATAAAGCTCCTAGTTAACATCCCATTGAATTGTACGGAAATGTATGGCGAATTTCAACCTGAATTTCCAAAGTAGCACGTCTTAGCTTAGAATAACCTTTATTGATCGAAATAAAAACAACAGAATCCACATTTTTGTCAATAAGGAGGAAGTTTACATATTCCGGATGTATAAAGACTCTGGAATTCTGGTGATGAAGTTAATGAAGATAGTATGAGCGTCGGCTTGGTTTCTGCTGCATTTCTTGCACAGGAAGTTAACGAGGTGCTTAAAGAAATGCTTGCTAGTCGGCAGCAAGAGGTTCTGCGAGTGTAGTGGCTGAAGCAGTTTCATAGCTCAACTTTTTCGATCTCCCCAGAGCAAGCAGTGCGACGTACTGCACAGCCTTATTCTGGGATACTTACTTGGATACTTGAATGTCCCGTCCTCACTAGTTGTGAGAACAGCTCTCAGCCAAGATAGAGCGGTAAGCCATTGCGAGGTATCATGCAATAGGACTATTCAATTCGGCATCTATTTGTCGAGCTATTTCAACCTTCCAATTTCCTTTAGATGTATCAAAACAACTGGGATCCCAACATCGAGGTTTCGAACAACTGCTGTGCGCATATTTGCTTCCACCAATGCCTTCAGTTCACCGTCGTCAGAAGCAAAGAGACGTCCGCGACCTTCCCCATCCTCAACGTCGAATTTACCGCAACGAAGTCTCTTCAACCAATGCCATACTGTGCAATCGTTAACACTTTCTTGGCTCCATACCTCCATACATAGTGTTTCAGGCTGTTTACGCTCTATTACGATCGAGTCTAAAATCGTAGTATACTGTCGAAACTGGTGTTCTGACATCTGAAATTCCAATCCTCAAAATTCGTCAAAGACGCAATTTGTATGATAATTACTTACGTGTAGCGAAATGCCTAGAGTTTGTTTTGCAATGCCACATAATAACGCTGCTTCCTAAAAACCTATTCCTAAAATGTGTACAAGAGAATGGAATTGCAAACCTAACATTATTTTCCGAACGACCTAATGATAAGTCACGAGTTTTCACTTCTAGCGTCGAAGGTCACCTAGCAATTTAGCAAAAAGTACATGAAGAACATGTAAGGGATAGCCAGCGTGGAAACTCCATAGCGTCAGTGGTGCAGTGGTCGGAAGCGCAGTGCAATAGACATGGGATCGATCCCCGCGCCCATGGTTCACCAAGCCTTCCATCTCTCCTGAGTCGGCAAATTGGTACTAGACTTGTTTGGGAGGATAGCAGCACTGGGGTGATCAGAAGGCCACCGCGAATCATTGTAAAGACCAGATATGCATTCGAACACCTTCAAACAGTGCTTAATGAAGTCGAATGCATGACACATCCCTCAGGAACTGATCAACGCCGACAGCTTTAGCTTTTTTAATATGATATTAGCAAGCCACCCCAGTGCCTTGTGCCATCCAAAATAAGGTGCACGGAATCAACATAGAGGTAATGTCATTCAACCTCGCTAAGGTCTCCCAGATATAATCTGAGAAGTAGCTCATATCCGAAGTAACTATTATGGCAAAATGCAACGAATATTTTATATTTACTATGTGTCATCATCAACAGCAAACATCCCGCGAATATAAATACTTCAGAAAAAATGAGCTTTTCCTGCCAAAATAAGCAGACTACCACGATTATGAGGAATCACTGAGTAACAGAAACACACCGATTAGCATCAATGAGTGAAAATACTCCAGTAAATTATTAGGAACTGAATACTACATGCGTAACTGCAGCGTTATTCAATATGGAGATGACTCTGGGTTAGTTGACGAGGGACATAAACTTCATCATCATTCTTCCATTGCCATCCAAAGACAGGTATCACACACACTGCTGCCAGAACGATACCTCCTTAATACAATGCACGTGATAGACTACCAAGCTTACGTTTATTTCTGGGCATATATTATAATGGAATAAATAATGCAGACTATGCGTTCAAATACAACTACAATGATGCTGAGATATTTGCAAAACACCGAACAACAGGTGTCTACAGCAGGGACCGCAACTTGCTATTTCCCTTTCAAAGCTCGGTTCCTCCCGCAGACACCTGTGGTCCGGAGTTTTGCAAATATCTCAGCATCATTGTGGTTGTATTCCACAACATATCCCTAGTATGAAAAAAGAATGAGCAGTAAATAAAAAGTGATTACATTATGCGTTCAAAATCTCAAAAGAAATGACGATCAGTGCTCAAAGCCAATTTGAACATGGCAAATTATAAACTAGACGTGTTCATTTTCCATTCTTCATTTCCTAATATGGAGTAGGAGAAGATGGGGTGCACTGGACCAACGTAGCAATCGAACAGCTGGACGTTGTTCGATTTTCGTTCTGGGATGACCAAACTCTTAATCCCTTCTTGACCAACAATTCTTAAACTGTTACGCATAAATCGACTGACTTTCCAATCAGTTTCTCTTTTGTCCTTAGCAAATTTTTCAGTCTTAACTCAAAATGGGTATCCAGAATAAGATAACAAAATCGTACCATAACCTTTCACACCACTGTCAAAGGGGCATATGCAAACATTTGTAGTCAAACCCACCTAGGACATCCGTAGAGTGGTGCCAGAAGTCAGTAACGCGTGTTATGGCCGTGAACACTGTCCAACTTGTGTATATCACCAAAAGTGTATTCCGTATCTTATACAAATACGGAATTCCAGTTACTTTTGCCATTCTAAAACAATTACACGAGTCGGTAAAGGTACTGTAATAACTAATTACAATGATTAAACAGCGAAGGACCTTGGCAAATAAATGCAGAGAAAAATTAGTACATGAAAGGCAGCTGCAGCATGTCCAGAAGGAAAAGATGTTCTAGCCGAGCGTATTCGACGGCTATCCGGATTCATACAGTAGGTTTCAGAAACTAAAATTGAATGAGAAGTTGAAAGCTCATACACATGGTAAAGAAAACCGTGAGATAAAAAAGGATAAAGCTCTTGACGTTCATCAATCCCATAGGATGCGCCATGCATTCAAGTTCATTAAGCATCGTTTGGAGGTAATTGAATGCATACCTGGCCTTTACAATTACTCGCGCTAGCTTACCGATGTATCGAGCCAGTGCTGTTATCCTCCTAGACAAGTTTGGTACTAATTTGCCGACCCGGAGGGGTGGAAAGCTTGGCAGGCCCAGGGCGCAGGAATCGATCTAACGTGTATTGCAGGGCGCCTACGACCACTGCGTCACACATGAGAATGATACTTTGAGCATAGAACCAAGATAACATACCTGGAATATAATCTTTTTTCGTGCAGTCCATACGTGACCAGTCGGGTTGACAGACTGCAAAAAAATGTGGACGCAACCGACCGACAGTGCACTTGAAGTATTCCATCAAAATCGTGCACAACGTGTACGTGAGTAAATATTTTAAATATAGCAACGTCGAAGTAGAGAAGTAATTGGCGAGTTTATTAGAGCCCTAGAATCAGATAATAAGAAGAAAACAGCAGAGAAAAGTCTCGACATAAATGAAAGTGCAGCCTCAGCTTAACTGGGTCCAATGCTGACATGTGCCCATATCAATCCCGCCGACGGGTGATGCTGATGGCAGCGTTAGATATAAAACTAGCTGAGAGAAACGCGAAGCAAGAGCCTCAGTGGTGCAGTATGTAATACGCGATCTCCCGGAAAGGTAATTTGGTTCGATATGGCCCGAGGTTCTAGTTTTGCGAATATCTCAGCATCATTGTGGTTGTATGAACGAAAGTGCTAAGGATAGAAATATCGTACCTGTGAGTAATGAAAGACTAGTGCTTCAACAAAGCAAATAATAAGGAACGGTGATCCTAAAGAAACAACTAGAAGCTGCTTCATCCCGACGGTGTTCGGTTTGAATGGTTGTCTAATTGACTCGTCGTTACACGGAATCGGTCGCTCATAAGGAGATATCGCATAACTGAACAGTAAATGGCATTGGAATATAAAACAACATCGCTCTAAAACCTTGAAAAGTAAGCTATTTTGTTAAGAGACTCACCCACTGAATGTGTAGAAAATAACAATCGAAACCACAAGTGTTATGGAAATATCGAGTACCATGCATATCAAACCACGGACTAGGGTACCTCGAAAACTCCTCTCACCATCTCCATGTTGTGTACCCAACCTTCCGCTAAACGTTATCCGTTTCAGAGTCATCTAGGACCTGAAAAGGATAGATCTCATTTGCATTAGACGATTTCCAATAAGCATCATAGGAAAACTTGTCGGCGAGCAAAACTATTTCATGAAAAGATACATCTGAAGCTCAACCACGTAGAACGAAAAGAAAAGGTCTAGGGACTATAGGACACGAAACAAACCCACCACTCCAACATCAGGTACTTCCTAAATACGATTCCACAGTACTTTTTCACTATTTCCTATACTTAGACGAAAACTTAAAGAACCCAAACCTATACAAGTTTAGAAGAAAAGAGCCTAACGATGTAGATACAAGACGCTACCGTCAGAACAAGAAAAAAAGTGTAGCTAGGACTAAAACCCTCCACGAACACAGAAGTCGCTGTGAGTTCCTCGAACTCCTCAAAAATCACAGCTGAAACGTCCAAGATTTTGAAAACCCAGTCGTTTTCCTCCCATCTCTTAACGACATAGAAATTGAAATACTGCTATTAGCGTCTTGTTAAGGTCTGCTGATTTGAGCTAGCCATTCTCTTTTGCAGGGAATCAGATCTGTGGACGTTCGCCGATGTTTTAAAGGTTTTTAACTGGATCGATATACTTTAAGCTAAGCTAACATGAGGTTGTTACCAATACTTATTCAGCTAACGTCTCGACGTCTTCGTCCTCCTTAGAAAACTTCTTCCTCACGTCTTTCTAACTTGACTTGTGAAGATTCTCAACAGCGAAGTCATAGCTAAGGTATAACCCAAAAGACCGGCTTTCTATTCCCGTTTCTATCGCTAGTGAACTATATCACCTTATGATTAGAAAACTTGTCCGAAGTGTGCGTTTCCCTTGCAACCAAATCAACGTGTCATTTGCCGCTTGTGTACAAGCTGTATAAGTTTGTTACGTGAAGTCTTCATTGCTGAAGATTTAAGGAGTACAAAGAAAGTTATATAAAGTCGGCCTCCTGAGTTATTAAAAGATGTGCCAACAAAACCCTTTCGATTATAACTATACCAACTTCGCATCAGCTCAACCAGATCAGTTCATAAGAGCGTATAAATGTATCGATTAGTTATGACAAGGTTTATCGAACGTCGGTCTTTTGAGTTATTAAGTTATAACCTTAACGGTGTACAGTGTAAAACATACTATAAATAGGTCTCTTGGCCTTTAAAAGCCCAACGAAGCTAGCCTTAATCACCTTGGGTGGCGCGTCTCACAACTACCATTGGACGAACGATACCATCTAATCAATCCATAAATTACATCCATAGTAGAGTTAATAATTACTAGAAAACAAATGGAGAATACTCAAAAAACGAACACAACAAATCCATCAGATGAAGGACAAATTGTTTAGTTGGTTACAAGTTGGGATATGAAACGGTTCCGCGTGTAAAATGGTGGACCGGTGTCCTGCGACTCGTTGAAGTAATAACCTTTAAAATACCTCCTGCATTTGTAGGACTTAACGAACAAACACAGCAGTCAGGACTGTTGTAGTACTTGTAGCGTAGGATCCCACAGGACCATTACGATGAGTTTTATATTCAGATCGTTTCCAAAATCAAGTAGCAGTATCCAAACACCTCAGAGAGTAAGCAATTCCAAGGATTTTGCTTTTGTCGGGGCACTTTGTTATGTTTTGTTTATACTTTGTACTTCCTATATTGATTGGAGCTTTATTGTATCTTCGGTACACGTTATTTTAAACTGAATGACGGTACGAGATTCTTCTAAGATCCTATAAACCTAAATTAATTCAAAACTATACACGTCCACATGAATGAGATCTCCCTAGTACAAGTTTCTATAGCTCATGCAGATCTTTCACTCTCTGGAGCTTCTGCTTCTCATTTTTCTCGCTCTTCTCATTCAAGCCTATGACCGATTTCGTTTATGTTATAATTAATTGAATCATACACTGGAAAAAGTACTATTCTACATGGTCGAAAACAGTTTCCTCCTCTTTATGGTGTTCACAAGGTTATATTGCCCTCGGAGTTCTGTTTACACACGACGCGCATTGATTTCAGTGCATTTGCTTCGAAAACAATGACCGCTGTCAACTTTGAACTAACATATCTGAGCTCTTATTGAGCTTCATCAATCGGAATGAAAACGATTAAGACGTACAGATCTTTGTCTACAAGATATAAGTCTTCTTATTCTACCAATGTAAAATTCTGATTTCCTGGAGCACATGAGACGCATTCCCTTCATTTCTTTGCCGCTATTTCTATCAGGAAAGCTAATGAATAACCGGATTTCGTCCGGCAGCCGAGCACGATCGTTCTCTGGCGTGTCGTCTGTGATTGCGGCCGGCGGTCACGCTCGCGCTAGAGATTTTGAAACCATGAAACTCGCTTGATCGAGGGGTTATTGTCAGTAGTTGCGAAACTAGCACTGGGTGTTTTGTGTTAAGACGATAGTCTACGGGATAGACAGACATGTATATCTATCCCGATATCAATTTCCCTTCTTCTTGGTTCCATAGTTAAGAGGCCAGCCGATGCTCGATTTTGAATGGCTACCTATTTCAAATGAAAACATCAGCTTGGAAATGACTGAGAGCCAGTCTAGTACTTGATTGTAAGACATTCCCCTTTACACTTCATTTCACTAGTTCTAGCTCTGATCGAAATCGCTGTCTAAGTTTGATGAGCTGGTTTTTTGTTGTTATGGTGGAAAGATAGTCTAGTAGAAGTCCATTTATAGCTGGCTGATAGCTAAACCATTTAATCTAGCACGAAGAAAAAATTCAATAATTTTGAAATAATTGACCATTTAATGATTACGCAGTAGGATATATCACCTGCATCACCTGTCGTGCCATTGATCGGTGAACGGCCCAAGCTGGAGCAAGTAAATACGCCATACCTCCATGGCATGTGCATGAATAGCCCAGCAGGTTCTGCTCGCTCTACGGACTCGTTGAGTATCGTACCTTTTTCTATGCTTTTCGTGAAGAGCAATACGTTTGACATCCCGAGGAATCCAATCACTAACGGCACTTCTTCGTCGATTGTCGTTCATACCCACAATATGTCCGGCCCATCTTATCTTCGAGAGTTTGGCGTATAGAACGGCATCTTTGATTCTCGATCGTTGACGCAGGTCAGACTTTCGGATCCCTTCCATCAATTATGTGACACGGGGCACTCCTAGCATCGTCCTTCTGGCTGCTCGTTCAATAACGCTGAGTGATCTTTGATTTTGCCTGCTTAGCGACCAGGTTTATGAGGCATCAATGAGGGCAGAAGGGATCGTGGAGTCGAAGAGTATTTCGGGTGCTCTTTGCTCTCTCCACTACGTACTCGATACTCTTGAAAACTCCCTAAGCCGATCGGTTCCTCCTTCATAACACTGGAGCTTGGTCGTTTATCAAGTTAATTTACGAACCTAGACAGACGTAAATAGAGCATTAGGAAATACTCATTTCGTTCAGGAGTAAATGGAGCATACATAACCAATCTATTCCTCACGAACATCGTTTTTATCCGCTTTGGCGGAAGACCAATCTCATCTGAGTCAAAAACCTTCTTTAAATCGATAAAAGTGAGACGGAGCGGTCTCTTGTACTCTTGCGATACTTCAATAAGTCTTGTTATCGTCTGGATGTAGTTCATGGTCTAATCTCGTGTAAAATCTTGTGACGACATCGACATCGGTTAGGCAAAACCTTCGATTTAGTATGATGTGGTCTATTTTGTCATAGTACTCTTCATTGGGAGACTTCCACGTTCAACGTCAAGTGTGGGGCTTCTGGAATTGAACCATGAATGGTCATGGTCGTCGTGACAAACTCAAAGAGCCGCTCACCTTGTTCGTTCCATTTTAATCCGTGGATCCCAGTGTAGCGTTCTTCAGACATTCTTTTGGGCCCAGTTTTAGCGTTAAAATCTCCAGTGATGACTTTGAAGAATGTATGATCTTCGTTGTAGAACTTCTCCATGTCCATATTGGTCCATCTGTTTTTCGCTATCGATGTATATTCTCCTGGATCTCGAAGATGTGACAGATTTAGAATATTAGAGCTTCGCATTCCGCAGAAATGTTGAGAGTTCTTGACGTGGTTCAAGCATAGATGAGCGCAGATTTTTGGGTCTTTTCTTTGGACGATGGATTCTTTGATAGACTCCAATGCAGCTCATGCCGCTCACCTTCTTCTATCCCTCTTTTATGTTCTTCATGTTCATTGAAATGTCGAAGGTATACGTGCAGGTGGTCTCTGCAATCACAGAACCATCTGATCGCTTTTGCACCATTGGTTTTTCATGAAATGACTCTTCTTCAGATTTATGTGTAGTCCGATCTTTTTTCTTGCTTCGTTGAGCTCGTTGATTATCGTCTATGCTTCGTTGATTCTTTTTGGGAAGATGATGATGTCATTGGCGAAGCGAAAGCTGAAGAGGAATTACCCATCAATACGTATGGCTTTCTCGTCCCAATCGAATGACTTTATTATCCACTGCAGTATGGCATTAAACAGCGATGGCGATATTGTGTCGTCTTGTCGAATCCCTTTTGGTAAGCGTATGATAAGAGCGATGGAAAAGCTGTAAAATTATGCTGCCGTTCCGATAACAATCAGACAGAGTTCTTATGTAGGACGAGTCTATTGCTTAGTCGACGAGTGCTGATAGGATTGCATTCATTTCGACTATGTCAAACGTTTTTTAATAGTCGACAAAGGTTTCGACAAACTACGATGACCCTAGACACAGCTTGGAAGTAGTTCTCGCAGCAAAATCCTTTTCGAAATCCTGCTTGCTCAACTGGTCGCGTCTCATCCAATACCTTTTATATGCACGACAGCATAAACTTCGTGGAGACCTTGTAGAATACATTCAACAAGCATATCGTATAACGGTTGAAGATCCTTTCGGTCACCTTTCTTGGGTAGAATGACCGTACGCGACGTCCTTCACTGGTCTGAGATTTTTTCCTTCTAAAGATAGTTGCGAAAAATACATGTAACTTGTGGATTCCAGCTCTAAGGAAGTTGGCGGTGATATCAACGAGTTCTGGGGTTGTGCCTTTTTTCATGCTTTCTATCGCAACCCGAAGCTCATAGGGAACAATTCCTGGTGGTTTTTCCCCAACAGGGATTCTAGGGTCCGGGGCCGAGAATGTGGAACGGAGACGGTTCATTGTTAATTCCATATCGTTGCGGGAGCATGTTCCGATTGCGCTTTTTCAGACATGTTCGTTTCTGTACTGCTTTTAGTAGTTTCTTCTGCCTGTAATGGTATAGATCTTCCTGCAAAGCTATAGCTCTTCTGTAGCCGGCATTTATTACTGGCCGTGTCAAAAGTTTTGCAGTGGGACCATGTTTCAGTTTCCTTCTCTTCTTGATGAACTCTTTGCTGGTAGTGAAGATGCGATTTGATCTTCTTGCTTGAGAAGCTGAGGCGTGTTTGTCACATGTTTCAAATCCTTCGACAAGCAGCTCCCAGTCTTCGGTCAGGTCTTCCTTATCTGCCAGTCACATTTGGATAGGATTTCGTTCGAAATGTTCTCATCATATATAGCTAGACTGTTTCTGCGTAATCGATGACATGAATTCTTCCCCAGCTTAGGGCTCAGTCGAATCTTCCCGCAAAAAAGGCGGTGATGGGAACCAGTAGAGAATGATGAGACTACCGATGTGTCAATAGGCACCATCTTCTGTTTGTACGAATATGGTCGATCTCCGCATGTCGTGCCGTTAGGAGACTTCCGTGTCCATCTGCGGCTTTCTTCTGGAAAAACGAGGTTCCATAGAAGTGACGGGCTGCAACAAGAGTCCTGCACAACGGTTTCCATTTTTACTTCTTTTTCCTAATTCAAATTTCCCGATCCTGTATTCGATGTCGTTGGCCTTTCCTATTCTGGCGTTGAAGTCTCCGACAACAAATTTATGGTACGTCTTATTATTGCGAATAACTTTCTCCAAGTGATAGCAGAACGCATCTCATTCCTACTCGTTGGCTGCTTTGGTGAGTAGTAGTTGGTGGTTATGATTTTATTGCGACGCGTCAGTTGAAGACAGAGGCCAGCCATGCGAGGGGAAAGCGTCTCGTACGAGTCGACGAGCTCGGCAGTGGAAGCGTGGACGGTAAATCCTATCCCAGCGACCTTTTTGCCCCGTTATTTAGTTGGCGTATGTCAATCTTTTTGCTTTTTGTCTCCTGTAAGCCGATCACATGGAACCTGATATGATCTGTGGCTCTAAGAGGGTCGTGAGGATTGGTGTCTGAGAGGTGTGTTCTGGCATTTTACGTGCAAAGTAAGAAACAATCTCCATGGTGAGTCGTATGTCTGTTCATCAGATCCGGTTCCAGTCACGTCTTGTGTAACCCAAGATTTTGTGGCCTCTCACCGGTCGTGTCACCGCCTGACGTCATACAGGAGCACCCAGTATGTGGGGTACTGTGGGTGGCCTGTTGCTGGTTGAGCGATTTGGTCTTCCCTGTAGTCCTAATTTAACCATGCGAGGGCGTATCCACATCTACACCACGATATGATTCGAGGGAGTCTTTTCGGCGACGATTCATTCGTTCGGTCTTCCTACTAGTTGACTAGCACCATGCTCGTAATGACCAACATGACTGCCACTGCTATCCCTTCGCTATATATGTATATGCACATATATATGTATACATTTATATATGTAATATATATGTATATATATGTATATACGATATGGTGATTGACTAGCTTCGAATGAAAAGAAAAAGTGATCGATTCTATATCGTCGTCATGAAAATGACTTTAATGCCTTTACAGAATACGTCGTTGTCTATTATATCCTTCTGTACCCAACATATTCTAATCGTACTCATCCAGCAGATTTTCCATTTAACTAACTCGACCTAGTCTTGCAGTTTTTCTTCTGTTCTCGTTTGTAATTCGTGGAAGTTTTGTTGGTGTACTGGCGTATGCGTTAAGAATTTCTACAACTTGGATCCGACAAAGTTTTTTTTTCGACTTATGCAACCCCATAATGAAGTACAGCTGGAGTTCTTGGAACAATGTATGATTGGAGACGAATGCAAAGTGACTAGCATGCTCAATGCCAATATTGTTGACACTACATATCACCATCCTATAAACGGCTGGTTAGTTTTTTTCGCTCTCCTTTCTAGCACTTTCGAGACTATGCGCATTGATTTCAATATGCAAGTTGGAGGGCATTGCAGACAATGTGTATTGACTTCCATGCGCACCATTTTCCAGGATTTCTTTCCTCACGGCGACTTTTGTCACATTTCTTGTAGACAGTCGACAACCTCTCGAACACATGTTTTCTATAATTGGCAATGTTCAGTTCAGTTGTCGTCGGTGCACGCTCCTCGGTGAACGAATGCGTAACGTACGACTCACTGGTCGAATTCTTTGACTCAACGAACCAGCAGCTCTCGTCAGTTCGAAGGTCGATGACACTCCATCTAAAATCGATCTACTAGGAGACCTTTGTGGATGAACAGCGTCTTTAAAGAAGATTGTGATCAACAAGTGGAAGAATGAAAGCAGCCGAGTCCCAAGACAGCACATATTCTTGCATATAGAAAGAGCGATAATGCATGAGAACCTATGGACTGAGAACCCCCTTGCCCGGCAATGCCTGTCGTCACGTGTATGGTGCTGGCTGGATCCCACTTCGGGCTCACCACACCCCTCATCTTTCTGGGGTCGGGAAATTGCTACTAGACTTATTTGTGAAACGCTCCAGCCAGCCCGGCCATCTGAGTATTCCAGGGAGAATCAACTAGACCAGCGTTCTACGACATTCAAGATGAAATGAAAATCCTCAAGCAGTAACTGAAACAAAATGGAAGACCTTAGTGGATGGTGAATTCGAGGAAACGAATCAACTGTGAGAAGTGCTGGGAACTGCACGGCAGATGTGAAGACGGGTCGTATAGAAATAAAAAAAGCTTCATGTGTAGAATTTATAGTGCTTGGCGAAAAGGTGACAGAACTGTTGTGAGATACCTGTAGGCATCCAATTTTTGACCAGTAACTAGAAAATTATTTATTTACAACCATTATTAGGAGTCGTAGTAGACATGTGTAATCGGCGGATATAAAAGGTACAAAAAAGACACTAAAATATATCATAGAAAACAATGCAGAAAGCTGATAGAACCGTACTTGGATAGTGGACGATTTTCTCTTCACCACAAACAAGGGTTAGAGGTGGGCCAAGAACGTGGAAACTTACACGGAGGAGCATATCTGATAAGTAGGACCTAAAAAGGCACGGGGAGTGTTTGAGGAAACGTAGTTATAGACCGAAAATCATAAGAAACGTAGTTATAGACCGAAAAAAACAAGAAACCGGCGCGCTGTACATTTTGTGCGGTCTTGACGGACCATACACACCGATTTCAATGCGAATCAGGCGAAAATTATCCGTCTAGTGCGGTCAAAATCCGGTTAAAATCATCTAAGCATGGTCCGAAAGGGTCAGAATGGTTGTTATTTCTAAATTGATGGAATCCAATATTTCTATTCGACTTATTCCACCATTTAGCCACCTGAAGCTTCTCCACTTTTGGTGGTCTCGTGAAAAATATGTATCTGAAGAGCTTGGTTGTAGTTGTCCTAGCCAACTTACTATCAGTCATTTTTGTCAGAAACGTCCTACGTTTACTATTTGTTATTTTAAAAAGCTGTGGGCTTGTAATGGTTCATTAAAAGAGATTTGAAAAATCACATTTTTCGGGAATATTCGTAAGTCCCATGCAGTCAGTATGTGGTGTTAAATGTATTCGAAATAGGAAGACACTAGTTCTTTACTCCACCACATTTCTTTCTAAAACTTGTCTTCCTTCTCTTGTAAATACCTATTGTGTTTGTCATCCGAATCACATGTATCAACCGTGATTCTGTTAGTTATCGAATGATTAAAGAGTCGAGCGAGCAGTGAGGAGCCTCTCTATCCGTTTTCCACACTGAGGCAGTCCAGTGTACTGGACGTTACTCGATCAGCGGACAGAAGAAATGTTACACTTTTGTTTTAGGGTCCTTTTATTGTACATCGCGAGTGGGTACCTACGAGCAGTTTGTCAGCCTTTGGGTGGGATAGATCTCTTGTTTGCATTTGGGATTTCCGGATGTTTCATGTCAAATTCCGCAACTTGACACGAAGAAATCTCTGCCTTTCTTTATAAGGTGAGAATCTACTAAGGATGGAACGCTAGCCTTACTTCGTCTTAAAATTTGGAGGCTACACTATTCGTTCCGTTGTATCCGTATTCCGTGGAGATGGTCGTGTTCATGTTCGGGTTCGACAGCGCTTTGAAGGTCTGTCATGATCTCTCCTCAATGACATGTTGCATTTCTGTCTAGAACTCCAAGAGAACCCAGATTTTCACCACGGACACTAGTTAGTCCTTTTAGATTGAAGCTAGACCTGTTGTCTCGTGACAAATTTTTCTCGAGCGATTCAAAGATTATTCTTCAACTGCCTGGGCGGTGTAGTATCGTTAGTATTATAATTTTTTCTGGATATTTAAATTTCCAATGATGATCAGTTGCAGTCTCCAATATGTTCAACTTCGAACGACGAACAAAAGCAAACAACAGAGTTCTACTTCAGGAATTTTCTGAAGACTCACGTAGTCTGTCTGGTATTTCCGTTATTGTATTGGTTCCTTATAGAACCTACTTGCCATCGAGTGTTCCACAGCGGTGGTCCTTCGGCATGATGACCCTAACCAATCCATGTTTTGGTGTCTTGGCGCCTTCTCACACTTAGATTTCCCATGTTCACATCAGCCTCCACTACTTTTCCCCGGTGCCAAGCTCCTCTGCGCTTGCCTAGGTTGCAGCTAAGGTTTTGTTGTCGTGTGGGTGAAGGTATGAAGTTCCTTCCGGAGTTTCTCACAGAGCACTAGTTTTTGGAGGAGCGAGGGCGGATGACCAGTTGTTACCTTGTGCTGTGTAAGAGAATCTGCTGGCCACATTTCACTCTTCACTAAGGACGTTCGCACTATTACAAACAATTGCTGTTTGGTGCTCAGCACACCTCTTATGAGATTATCAGTTTCACTGGCACTGGTAAGAATTGAATGATCCCCTTCAAAGGCCTTTTGCAAATCTGTCTTTCCTCTTTTCCGCTCATCTTCTTTGCTCTTTAACGGTTATATCTGTTCGCAAACCGCTTTACGATGATACGCTCCTTAAGTTCTTCTCGCTACTCCACCTGAATAGTCTTTACATTCAAAATTCTTTGAGCAACCTGACTTGAGCATAAATAGCTCACTCCTTTCTTTGGTGTGCGGTTCTACCTGCCTACAACTTTTGTTTCTTTTTTTTTGTTTTTTTATTGACTTGTATAATAATGTCTATATAATTACTATTGGAAATGGGATTTCTCCCAGGACAGCGCTGCACTGGGCCGCACGCCGTGGTCATGAAAGTATTTGTCTTTTGCTATTGAGAAGTGGATTCAGTAGAGAACTAAAGGACTCCGATGGTCGAACGCCATGGGAGGTAAGAAGAACGTTCCCACGTATCTACAAACTTCTTTATATTATTGTTGAGCAAATGCGAGGTGTTCCGTCAAAATGTTAGCTCGTTCGTAAATGAAAAAGACATTCTTTTCTCTTTCTCTTTCTTTAAAAAGCCATTTCTTTCAAAGTCTTTAAAGTTTTTAAAAACATCCTCTTAAAAAAAGCCATTTGTAAAAAAACCATTCTTTTTGTTATGGATTGATTAAGGTGTGCTTTGAAGAAAACCCTACACTAAGACATATCCTCCAGCCTGATTTACCGATCTGTGAAAATCAAATAATGCTCGAAAGCGGCAAATCTGTCAAGCCGTCAACAAGCGGTAGGATGGTATTCGTCCTTTCGGAATAACATAGTGAAGAACACATTTTTTATTCCTTAGTTTTGTTTTTACAGATTGTAACCGACGCTGCTCAGCAGACGCAGTCGAAAATGACCGTTTCGTGCCAAATTACATTAGGCATCCGCCGTTCCCATACTCCAAGTCGTCTTCATTTGACTACGGAACAGGAGTTTCTAGTGAGTGTTTCCTCTGAATTAGATGAATGCACGTCAGGAATTCAGTAGAAGAAAGGCTCGTACACTTATAAATTTGTTCTTGCTTTGAATTTGTTGATCAGGATAGGTGAAGTCAATATTAAATAGTACAATATTGACTTAGAGGGCGACTTTTAATAGGCATAGACTTTATTCTTCCATCAGTAGCGATATGAGATTGCTCTGAGTGATAGGAACAGTGCTTCAATTTGTTTGGGGAAGTAGAGCCTTTTCTGGTGTCGAATTTCACATTACATTCTCATTCATTTCCTTGCTTGCGCGATAGGGAAGATCGATGAGGAAGGCCTTTTTCTGGCATCGAATTTCCTTGTCCTCCTGGTATCTTTTCTGTTAACAGTGAAAATCACTGAATTCTTTTTAACTGGAACCTGCTCCATATAGAACAGTCGAGCAATGCGGAGAAAATATGCACAGTAGGAAGCAATTTTTTGTGTCCTTGCATTATTGTTCGATATTAATTCAGGTGAGGAGAACGAGCAACTCCATATATCCCGTACGTGTACCCCAAATAGTGTTCTTAGCATAGAGAAATGTAAAGCATACGTATCTACCGCTGAATACATGCATGTTTCTTCACGATTCATAGTCGCATTACAATGCCTCCCACTTCTTTTCTCGAAAACGCCCAGACACATGGAGAGCTTCAGGTCAATGGCTAGGCGACTTCTCTTCACGATGATCGCATTTTTGAGTGGTCCACTCCTTCCCTGTCTTCGTCCATTTTTTTATCTTCTCTTAGTACATGGTCATCACATCTGTTTCGTGTTTACTTCATCCAATGTGAGCATAGAGATCTTAGTACATCGATAGCTGTATTCTTCTTGAGAGGTCTGTTGGTACCGTAGCAGTGGTCTCCACATTACACTGATTTCATCTCTGCAACTAAATATATTATTCTATACGTTTAGCACATGTCATAGATCACCTCAGAAACCGGGGAATCTCAACGATTTTTTTTGCAGCTCCATTTTTCTGCTTCGTTTAGCCATTTAAATAATTTTGCCTCTTGAAATGTGATCTCATCAGTCAATCAGATGAGAGTTTAACCAGAATTTTCCGTTAGTCTTTGCTGTGATCAGCCAACTTCGTAAAGCGTTATATCGCGGAGGTAAGGTCTTGTTAGCGGAGTTTTACGGTTCTACATACGATTTGCATTAGGTCGTACAACACAATTCATATCAGATTTCTAATAACCACGTATAAATGCATATCGGCGACTAAGGAAATTGTCTGGTTCATCGCCTTTAGTAGTAAAGGGAAGCTTTCGATATGGCCTGAAGCTGTTTTTTTTCTTCCGCTGGTGGGTCAGTTTTCTTGGGAGGTCAGCAGATAACCGCACACAATGGTTTCGGATCGTCAATGGAAGCGTTAGCACAAATCTAGTGATTCGCATGAAGAATTGCTACCTTTTGATCGGATTTCCGTTAAGATAAGGAAGTATCTGACATAGGTTTACTTTTCACATTCGTAGAAACATAGAACTTCAGGAATATGTATTCTTTCCACAGTGATGAAGACAGGTTAGTAGAGGTAGTCCAGAACAATGTTACAGTTGATAAACTCTTTTTTGCATCATATGTTCGTCATATGAGGTATTTTTAGAAGGTGTTTATCACTTATATCTGTTGTGTGAGGGACCACTAGAGGTATATTTACTCATCATGGCTGGGGACGTAATAAAGCTACATATCTCCAATTCGAAGGGGATGGACTTACCCCGACCTGGTAAGGGTTTTTGGAGATCCAGAGAGAAAATATTGGCACAGCAGCAATATACTAGTTAAATTGAGGATTTATTGGTACTGCAAGATTTCTTGTGAAGGTTGGCCATTCCACTATCAGGCAAGTATGGTTTATTGCACATGGAGTTATAGAACAAATGTTTTCATACATGTAATAACTATAAAATTGAATCTCAGGTTTTAGAACACAGGATGTTAGCTAAGCGTTTTAGTGTCTCCCAGCAGAACTGCTTACTATTCCTACGGTAGACGTGATTCGTTAAACAGAACTCGATTTTTGTTGGTCAGAACAAGGTGAGCTCTGTTATTATTGTTGCCTTGTGCTCTAGACCTCTATATGGTAAATTGCTAAGTTATTAGAATTAGGAGTAGTCGTAGAACGTGAAGGAAAGATTATAAATTTGTTCAGTTTCTCCGATGGAAAGGAAGCTTTCAAACGTGTAACGCTGCCAGGGGGCGCTTCATTAACTCAGTTGAAGAAGATAGTTGAAAAATCTGTACAACGAGGGGAAATCGAAGCAATATTAACATTACCCGATAGAGTAAGACTTTTATTCCTAAGCATTTTTGTATTAATTAGTAATCGATACTTCGTAGTTGAGGCTTTTTTAAATGATTAAGTACTCGTATGGCTAAAATAATATGACCGATGTCGTGAACTTTGTAATCTTACCGGATTTTATTGACAGGTTTTGGTGGAAGATGATGCGCAAGTTGCTCAATTTTCTGATTGTCAGAAGATAGACGTTATATATAAATTAATCGTCCCTTCAACTAATTGGGTGAGTTGAATTCTGTGGTGTTCTGGATGAGATTCTTTTAATCGTTTATCACAGTGGAGTGAGACCTATCCTCGATTTCCGAAGATCTGGTGTTGAAATCATAGATTCCATCAGTTCGTTAGAATGTCTCTTCACCAAATGTGGAAAGCGGATAAGGATAAAAAAGTTCTTGGCGTTGATCAATCCTTGGGAGATGCGGCATGCAATCGGTTTCATTAAGGGTGGCTGGTGGTGTTTAATGCATATCTGGCCTTTACAATGACACGCGGTGGCCTACTGATGTATCGAGCCAGTGCTGCTATCCTCCCAGATAAGTATGGTACCAATTTACCGACCCCGGAAAGATGGAAGACTTGGTGAGCCCTGGGGCGCGGGGATCGATCCTATATGTAGTACAGGGCGCCTCCGAGCACTGCGCTACATGCGTGCCAGGGAAAGCGGATGGAGAACTTTAAATGGTCTTCCCATTTTGTCTTCTTTGTGACGGTTTGAAGTCTACTACCCCTTCTAAATGCCAAACTAAAGTCTTCATGACCCGTTAGATAGCAAAACTGCAGCACGAAGCTCTGAGTCATTGAGAAAATCGATAACTCACTTTACGAAAGCAAAGGAAAAGAAAGCGAATCTCTAGATTACTGCGATTAAGTTTAATTAATGTTTAAAGAAGGGATTTGAATTATGTGGTGATCGTTACAAATTGGCGTTCGCATGGATGTTGGACGTAAGCTACTTTAACATTGAAAGCATTACAAAGTACAAAGGATGAGGATCAATAATCCGTCCAAAAACATAGGCGACTGCAGCAGTCGTACTTTCGGGATTCAGAGTTTTTCAGCAAAAGCATCTTCGCACAGCTATCAGATCAGTCAGTGGTATTATTTACGTTATCAGTTTGTGAAAACTCCCAGTCGACTTTATCTTCTCACTAACTAACAATGTAAAGTAGAAAGTTCCCAAACGGATTCTCATACGTGTACTGTTGCAAAAATGTATTAGTCACCATTTCATGTCCTGCTTCCTATTGTCTTTTATTAGGAAGGTATTAGTAGGTGGGAGCACCATCTTATGAATAGTACCACTGTGGGTTCTATACTTAATTCCTCTCTTCTCGCACGTTCCTAGAGTACTCTGAAAATATGTGTGGACACCATCTGTAGAGTATTGGATTTGGTTAGAGGTGTGCTATTCTTCTTCGTTTGCTATCTATGTCATGTACATCGGGAATGACTCTGGTAATTGCTATAGAAACCGTTGTCAGCTGTTTTTTTTTCTGCAGATGAGCGGATGCGTGCAAATCCTCGAACAGAGCAAACCTGTCATTTCACTTACCTGCCATTTCAGTAGCGTACAAACCACATGTAGGGAAACAATGTGATTTCAATAAGACGTTCTCGACCATATGATTCACACACTGCTTCTCCTTGGCTGAAAATAAGTTAGCCTTTCGACTTTAAACAAATATATTCTAGCTCGCAGTGAAATTTAGTACTGAAACCAATGAAATCTTTGCGGATCTTTACAAACATTGCCATCTTTTCTACCTGATGCGGTAAGATTTCGATTTTCTGAATCCACAAGTGGGTTCTACTTTCGCCTTGTTTTTCACCGAAGCTCATGAATTAACTGGCGGTGTGTTTGAACAAACGCGATTCCATCCACTGTTATGTGAGTGCACCACTGATGTTTGCGACTGCAGCGTTTACTTTGAGATTTCTGAGCAGTTTTAAACTCATTTAAACGACCTTAAGCGCTCTATTCAACGGAACTCGTAGAGGAACACTAGTGTCGCGAACGTCAACTCGTTATTTGACTCAGCTTCCGTTAGTGATTTGACAGCTCAAAATCGTATTTCAATCTTCTATGTTATACTTATGAGTACGTTCTAAGAGATCTTATTGTTGCTGTCACTGGTACAACATCATTTGAGCCATTTGATTTGTTCCCACGACCAGCTTTCTCTTAACTTTGGTGTCGATCAATAATTCACCGCTGTCTTGATGAACAGACACGAGGTCGTTGTAATACTATCTCTTACCCATAGCTGAAATTTCGGCTGATTTCATCTTCTAGAGAGCTTGCAAAGGCCAAATTGAGTGTTATGTGGTCAGGCAAACACTTTAAAAGATAAATAGGTTCTTTTTTAAAAACGCCCACGCTTTTGTTCTTTATAACTGATATTTGTTGTTGGAAACCAGCCGGCTAGTTAGCGTTTTTAAAAAGAATGTGCTTCTCATGCGAGTGAAACTTAGTTGTTGAGTTTTCTTTCCTGCAGAGATTATGAAAATGTTTGACTAGGCCGCAGTCAGCTTGACCTTTCGAAGCTCTAAAGAAGGGAAGTCAGCCGAAGGGTCATCTGTTTTGGGTAAATAGTGTAATAACAATAACAACCTCATATGCTTTCATTAAGGGAAGATTTGGTTTGTCTCCATTTTGAATCCTTTAATTCGACATTCTGTGTCGTGTACGGTATGAGAGAGTTTTTCGTTCTTTTGCCATCTGACTAGAACCTGCAAGTTTTCACCTTAAATTATATGTGATGTGTTGTTATGCCTGGTTTTGATATTTCTTATACTTTCATGTTAAAGATTGACGAAGCTGTGGAAAGCGTCATGGATGTTGGATCGGAAGCCGCGGAAGGTGTGTCCAGTAAATGAGCTTTATCAGCTTTCCAAAAAATTGATAAATTATCAAATATTTTCAGGTTTTGAAATAACGATCTGTACATCTTGTGTTTCTGTATGTGCATTTAAAAGCTTTTACGGGAAACAGTGCCAAGTGGAAAGCCACTATACGGGGAAATAATGTTGTTAATGTTTTGGTCCGAAGTGGTTAAATTTCCACTCACGCAGTTGATAACGTAAAATTTCTAATTTTGGCCCAACATATCTTATCTTTCAATCCCGTTGACGGATGATTGCTGATGGCACTGGTAGATAGAAAACTAATAGATGAGAGACAGGCGAAACGATCGACCGATGGTGTGGTGGTGAACGCGTTAACCCCCGGAAGAGGTAATAGCCAGTTCGTTCCTCACCGCGTACACCTGCGTTCCGGAGTTGCAAATGTCGCGGCAACATAATGGTTGTATCTCATCTTTATTAGTTTAGATGAGAGGTTACAGTCTACAATTCTTTGCTTAGAAGAGCAACGTTTCTTCTTCTTCGCTTCGATGAAATCCTGGTTCTTTGGAGCCCACTTAACATATTTCGTAAACTTCCTTTTTCGTCGATACTTGTGTTTCGATGATGAAAGCAGCTGGATAAGTAGTCTCAATTAAAGTCCGATGATTTCTAAAATACGTTGTCAATGTTTATTACTGCCGAGATTTCTTTTGAAGTCCTAAAAACTCAAATTTAGTTTTCATTCCTTTCGGAAATTTTAAATCTAGGTATTATCAAAGATTAAGTAACAGTTTTCGAGACGTATAATTACTTCTAAGTAGGTAGAGTGGATTCTCTTGGGAAGGGGACCGCGTTTTCAACTTCTAAAGTTCTATAATTGTCGAGAAATTATTAGTGGTTTACAAAAAACCAGCTTTAGTCTTCCAGTTTTAAATATCCGGTGTGTTTGGTATCCCGTTTCGCAACTGGAGTTTACCGCTTGAGTTTCCAGTGGCTCAACTATTGCCTTTGGGGATAGTTATTATATATCTGTATATATATATATATATTACATATATGTGCGTATATATATGGGATTTCTCACCGTTTTCCTTTCACTTTTACTAGTTGTTCAGTCTTTTCAAGAATTTCTGTAGTTAACCCTTTCTTACGGCTTATACTCTTTCAAGAGACGACTGCAGGCACCATGAACGGCAGTGGAGATGGATTCCCCATTACGTTAATGGTCAGTTTTTAGTTAATGCTCCATTTTAAATCTCTTGTTTTGATGTTTATTACTATTTTATTGTGCTATTAACACATCGACGATCATCGTCGACATCGCGGAAACGCAAAAAATGAAATTCAAGGTTTAAATATCCAAAATAGGTTTTTCTGAATTGCTAAGTGTAGAAAATAGCTTTTCACGAACTGCTTCTAATATTGAATCTATGTTTGGCAGCCACGGATCTCCCTCATATGAGGGATCTTGAACCGTTTAGTCGCGAGGCTTCGTGGCGCGTTCAAAGGTGGCGGATAGGGGGTTAATCGCGGACCAAAAGTGACCCTTGCTTCCCTGAAACGCAGGTGCATCCAGGGGATGGACTCTCTGTTTCTGCTGAGCCGATTTGGCACACACTTTCTGTATTTACGAAGCGTATTTATGCACGCGTGTGTGGGTGCGATCTAGTTTACGGGGATTGTGTTCTACGGAGTCGCCTCCAACAAATGAGCTCCATGTCCACTCTGAGAGAGCCTGGCAAGCTAGCCGTGAGTATACCCAGCCTCCACGTTCAGAGCCCAGCAAGCCATACGTGGGTATCAAAACTGCTAAGCACAGTAAAGAAAACGGACCTCATTCCACTGACCCCGAAAGAGCCCCCAATTTCGCGGCATTGGGTAGGACGAGTGCTGAGAAGCTGCTAAAATCTCAGGGCCAATGGAAACTGCCTGAATTTCAAAGAACTATGGTGACAATCTGTACCTACAATGCACGTACACTTGCATCATGCAAACAAGAAGGATAAGGTACGATGTCATCGACCTGGCCGAGAAGAGACGACGCCAGCCTTTCAACGCCGTCTGCGATACCGGAGAAGAACTGTTCCTCGGAACATGCGACAGTAGAGGAGTCGGCGGCGTTGGCGTTCTCGTCAACGCGAGTTTGTCCATGAACATCGATTCATTCGAACAACTTGCAGCCCGAATCAGACGTTTACGATTAAAAAGATGTCGATCAATACCCGCTTTGACAATCTTAGCCGTTTACGCGCCGAAATCATACCATGACGAAGAAGAAGTCGAAGAGTTCTATATGGACTTGGAAAAGTTCTACAGAGAAGACCATGCATTCCTCAAGGACATCATTGAGGATTTTAACGCCAAGATTGGACCAAGAAGAACGTCACATTGGGATCCACGGCTTAGAATGCAACGAACAGGGTGAGCGGCTGAGTGTATCATGGCGACCAAGACAATCCATGATAACTCGCAATTCCAGGAGCCCTACTCTCAGCGCTGGACGTGGGAGTCTCCTAATGGAGAGTACCATAACGAAATAGACCACATCATAGTAAATAGAAGGTTTTGCCTGACCGATGTCGCTGTTGTCCCAAAATTCTACACGGGATCAGACCATCTTCTCCTTCATACAATACTCTACTTCTCGCGGAAAGGAGAAAAGCCGCTAAATTCCAAAACCAAAGTTTCAGAACCACCGTAAACTGGGATTTATTCAATTCATTAGTCGGTAAGACCAAAATGATTGCTCTCCGGCGCCCAGACGGAACACTTACAGCATCCAGAAAGGCAATGGAGAAAATCATTCACGAATGCTACTCAGATCTCTTCGATAACCACGTCCACCTTCCATCATATGAAATAAAGGAGAATGGATATGTTGTGCCACTGGTTCTCCCTACCGAAATCCGACATGCCATTTCGTCGGTGAAAAGTCGAACAGCACCAGGTCCGAACAGGATAATACCAGAACACCTGAAGAACCTTCCGCCCGTCCTGGTAAACACACTGGCTCGGCTCTTCACACGTTACCTGTCTGAATGCTAGGTCTCTGTTCAGTGGAAGACCAGCAAGACCGTGTTATTGTTCAAGAAGGGTGACCTGCACAATATCGACAATTATATCCAATCGCTTACTGTTTGTCGTCAATAAACTTTTCACTCGTTCCATCCTAAACAGGATCGGCAGAAAACTAGACGAAGGACAGCCATGTGAGCAAGCACGGTTTCGAAAAGGATTTAGTACGATGGACCACATCCACACAGTGACACGGCTCATTGAAGTAGCGCGAGAGTACAGAAGACCGCTCTGTCTCACTTTCATCGATTTACAGAATGCCTTTGATTCAGTTGAGATAGAAGCAGTCTTGGAAGCCCTTGATAGTCAAGGCGTCCCTACTCAGTATACGAAGGTTCTTCGTGAGCTGTACAAAAATTTCACAACCAAGATTTCACCATACTATAACGATATTAACATCGACTTCAAAAAAGGAGTTAGGCAAGGCGATACCATCTCGCCAAAAATAGCTACAGGCGCCCTCCAGAACGTCATGCGAGCACTGAAATGGAATGATATGGGAGTGAAAATCGATGGTCGGCAGTTACACCATCTTCGCTTTGCTGATGGCATCGTCCCTATAACAGCAAACATTAGCCAAGCGGAACGTATGCTTGCCAACTTTGATAAAACCTGTGGAATGATTGGTCTTCGACTAAATCTCACAAAAACGATGTTCATGAAGAACGGATTGGTTACACATGCTCCGTTCACGCTCAACGGAACAAATATCTCCGAATGCTTCAGTTATATCTATTTAGGTAGGGAAATCAATGAACGACCTAGCTCCAGAGCTGAGCAGAAGGAAACGAGCGGCTTGGGGAGCTTTCAAGAGCATCGAGGATGTAGTGAAGAGAACAAAGAACACCCGACTCCGTGCCCACTTTTCGACTCAACGTACTTCCTGCCTTAACGTATGCGTCAGAAACCTGGTCGCTGCATAAGCAGGATGAAACGTCACTCAGCGTTATCGAACACACAGTCGGAAGGACGATGCTAGGAGTATCCCGTTTCACACAAGTAAGGCGTATCCAAAACTCCCATCTGCGTCAACGATCAAAAATCAAAGATGTTCTGTACGCCGAACAGTCGAAGATAAGGTGGGTTGGACACGTAATGTGTATGAGTGGATGGACAAGGGCCGTTAGTGACTGCATTCCTCGGGATGTCAAACGTACTACAAGAAGACCACCGACCCGATGGTCGCAGTTCTTCACAAAGAGCCTTGAAGAAAGATATGATGCTCGACGAGGTTCTAGAGCGAACAGAACCCACTGGGCTACTCTTGCACGCGACAGGGAAGAATGGAAGATTTACCGGCGCCCGCTTGAGTCAGTTGAGGATCAACGGGGCTACAGGTGATACAGGTGATGTTTGGCAGGCTATCGATGGAATACAATGTTTCGCTAGAAAAACTTAAGCAAACCGCTGTACGTGAGTCACTCCGTTTCTGTTCATATGGTTGTTAATATGTCGGATTTTATATGATTTGAAGAATGGTGATATGTTTTATTTTAGGACCGGCCAAGTGAGCCTGAGCAGACACACTCCATCAACGTTGTTCCCGTGAATTTTTCTACTTTCCGTGTTTGTTCATTTCTATGTCATGGCTAATCTTACACAGTCTCATTATGTCCAGAGAGAAAGAGTGCCGTTATGTAGCACTGCAAATCCTTCATAGGCCATTGTAGTTAGGGGCCATGATAACTTTCACCTTATCCGCCACCAGTAAGAGGTTTTCAAGCAGTCATCGATTGAAATTCTTTCACACTTGGTTGCGAAAGTGTCTAAGTGTCTCTTATTATCGAATAATACCGGCGCAGTACAGTGCAGATCGTACTGTTACTTTGCCGGATTTGCAAGATTTTTCCCGATCCCTCCATTACGAAACCAACAAGTCATGGTCACGATGGCCACCAAAGACTCGTATGTGTGGTGAGGGTTCAGATCAATCGATATCAATCAGTTCCTAAAAGTAATCACAGGGCAGATAGGTATTAGTGTTGTCAGTAGTCCTCTTGTACCAGGAGTGTTCAGGGACACTTTTTGCTGATATGTAGTTCTGTTCACACCATCAACGTATTTTCTAATAAAGGTTGCAGATTTTGCTAATGTACTACTTATATTTTATACATTGCCTTTGTTTTTTAAGGAGGTCGACTTGTCCCAAGAGTATAATGTTCTAGCGGCAACAGTTTCCAGCGTGAGTGTTTCCTCATTGATGCCCGAAATTAGCGAGAATCATAGTGAGGTATGAAAATTGCAGAAGTATGGTGATGTGATGAGTACGGTGTAAAGTATTTCAATACTATTTCAAAGCTGTTTATCTTAACATGCATTATCTTGCAAGACTTCGATATGACGACAACTTCCATTTATGCTTTTGTGCCACTTTTTTAAAACTTTTCTTAGATTCGACTAGCACACATTGTTCTTTTGTGGTCTGAAGTAAACCGTTGCTTGAAATCGTGCATTTTTTGGGAATTCTAGAAGATTTATCACACTTTTCATGATAGGCTTCTGCAGGCCTTTTGATGTCATATACCAGTGCTTCACATGTAGAAAAGTGGTCAGAGGCGCACAAGTCATTTTAAAGGTCAGATATGCATTCGATCACTTCCGGCGGTGCTTAATGAAGTCGAGTGCATGGCGCATCTCTGAGGGATTGATTAAAGCCGAGAGGTTTATTCCTTATTGTTATCCTTTTTGCCAGCGCCTGAAATACGTACATAACTTCGTATGTAAAGCGAATAATTTTTTATGCGTAGTTTTTCTTTTTCTTGGGATTGGGGGGGGGGTGGTTCTTTAGCTGGTTGTGTACTCTCTGATCTGTCGTTTCTTCCATTTCGTAATCATAATAGAAAGAAACAAATTAAACCAATCCATAAGTTTGCTAAAACAAGTGTATGGAATGTGGAACACTTGAACAAGAAATCCACTCGTATGTTTTAGGAAAACATTCCATTGTTTTCGCAGGATCGCAATTACCAACGAAAATTTGACATAGTTATACCTTTTTATTTTCTGCCTACTATAATTTCGCGGCAGGGTACTAAGCGAAATACAACCACAACGTTGCTGAGATATTTCCAAAACTCTGGACCGCAGGTGTCTATGGTGGGGAACGAACGCGCTATTGTCCTTTCCGGGGAGTAACGCGTTCACCACCACACCATGTGGGTCCTTTGTTTCGCCTGTCTCTCAGCTATTTCTATCGATCTTTTTGCCACAGCAATCACCCGTCAGCGGGATTGATCTGGGGAGCGCAAATCGGCATAGAACCCAATTAAGCTATGGCTGTAGTTGAAATCACAATGTTATACCTTTTTAGAACACCCGCATGGTGTGGTGGTGAACGCGTTACTCCCCGGAAAGGACAATAGCGCGTTCGTTCCCCACCATAGACACCTGCGGTCCAGAGTTTTGTAAATATCTCAGCAACGTTGTGGTTGTATTTGACATAGTGTTCAAATATTAATTTCTAGATGGAGTTTGCGAATAAAGTCTCTTTGCGGAAGAGTGTCGATTCTGATCCAGGAGACTTCGTGAAGGTGTGACCTAGCTTTGTTTTCAAATGAAGGAACTTCTATTTAGTATTCCAGATTGATGGCGCTGATAATGGAAACTCAAGTGGGCAAACTTCATCTCCATCTCAAAGGACGGTATGATGGTGTAACAAAGATTGTTTATAAAGAATAGAGAGAATTAAGGAAGAATTAGTTGTATTTCAAGTTATTCCTTTTCAGACGCCTAACGCTCTAGATATAGCTCCTGCAACACAGTTGGAGGATAAAGGAGAAGTTAAAACTAAAAGTGCAGATATTGAACAATCAGAGGAGGAACTAAATGAAACGTGTTACAAAAAATTGCATGGAAGTGCTCTGCTGGTGTGGATGGATGAACACCCCAACATAGTATGGTTTCTTGTTTTGGCCAGAGTTAATCAATGGAATTGTTTGCTACCTATGGCGGTGGAGTATAACGCATGGTGTTATTGGTTTCAGTATGACTCACAAACATTAATTTAATTAGATAATTAGCACTGCATGGTCTTTCTATATGCTTTACATTATGATGACAAAATTGTTTTGTGATGTTGGGTCTGTAAGGGCTATTTCGATGTCGCAGAAATATCCTCTATTATTTAATACTACCTCCTCGCCTTCGCTTTTACATCGTTCTTATAGTACCAAACAAGCGGAACGTATGCTCAACGACTTCGATAAAACCTGTGGAAAGATTGGGCTTCGACTAAATCTCGCAAAAACGATGTTCATCATGAACCGAATGGTTTCGTATGCCCCACTCACGCTCAACGGAGCAAATATCTCCGAATGATCCGCGACCCGCGTGATGTGGTGGTGAACGCGCTACTCCCCGGAAGGGACAATAGCGCGTTCGTTCCCCACGGCATACACCTATGGTCCGGAGTTTTGCAAATATCTCAGCATCATTGAAGTTATATCTCCGAATGCTCCAGTTTTGTCTGTCTAGATCAGGAAATCAATGTGATGAACGGCTTAGCTCCTGAGCAGAAGGAAACGAGCGGCATGGGAGCTTTCAAAAGCATCGGGGATGTAGTGAAGAGAACAAAGAACACCCGACTCCGTGCCCACCTTTTCGACTCAACGGTTTTCCCTGCCCTAACGTATGCTTCAGAAACTTGGTCGCTGCGTAAACATCAAAAGGACGATGCTAGGAGTATCCCATTAAATACAAGTAAGGGATGGGATCCGGAGGTCCGATCTGCGTCACCGATCAAAAATCAAGGTGCCGTTCTGTACGCCAAACAGTCGAAGATAAGGTGGGCCGGACACATAAAGCGTATGAATGACAACCGATGGACAAGAGCCGTAAGTGACTGGTTTCCTCTTGATGTCAAACGTACTGCAAGACCACCGACCAGATGATCAGAGTTCTTCACAAAGAGGCTTGAAGAAAGATGTGATGCTCGACGGGTCCCTAGAGCGAGCAGAACCAACTGGGCTACTCTTGCACGCGACAGGGAGAAATGGAAGATTTACTGGCGCCCGCTCGAGTCACTCGACGATCAACGGACTACAGGTGATACAAGTGACCTCCTCGCCTCGACTTCTCTGTCTAGAATTGCCGTTAAGCCATATATGGGGGACGAAAAATAGAAGAAATTTAACTACTATAATGCTGAGATATTTGCAAAACTCTGGACCGCAGGTGTCCGGGGTGGGGAACGAATGCGCTATTGTCCTTTCCAGGAAGTAACGCGTTCACTACCACACCATGGGGGTTAAAACACAACGTTCAACACGTCGATGTAGCTGTGTTGGAAAGCCCAATTTTATGTCGCTTCCAAATCGTACGCCATCCCAACACATCGTTCTGGACCCATACAGGGCTGGTATTTCGATCACTGGAGGACTTGAGAAGTTAATAACAGCGCGGAATTGTGGAACAGGCCTCGTTCTATCGTCCTAGTAGTGTGCATGTTTCTTTTTCATAATCTAATTGGTCAGGAGCCGAATTTTGTGGCCTTGATCTATCTCTGTGGCTGGATGATTGAAAATCGATCTGCTCCATTGAAAGTGACAATGAGGAAGCTGAAGATGCGGAGGACAACACGTTCTGCCTCATGTCGAAGAATCTGAAGGAAGTGATCTGGAGGATTAATACTCCGATAGCATTGATGATTACGATGAAGTCGTTAGTGAGTGATCTAATATTGTCTTGGCTCGCAACCTGTGGTTCGATGACGTCGATTTGGTTTAAGAAGACAGGTTTTGTCTCGTTGTTGTACCGATACATTTCTGCAAATGGAAAGAAACGTATAACGGACGAAAGGATGCTGTGTGAACCGATAAGTGTTGCCAAGATGAGAAGCTTGATCGTTCCCGGCCTTATAATAGGAATTGCTAGGATAGCACATTTGAGGGATTGTTGAATTCCAATCGTATTCTTGAATCCAATCCTATTGCATCCCATGTTACAACATAGGATGCGTTAGTTGGCTCAAAAAGGCTTTTAGAAAAGGCTGAAAAAAGTTTGGTATACGGTCGTAGAAACGCCCCATAACTGGAGAGATGACTCAGTCTGTAGTGGTGAAGCTTATGTGTGATTTGCTGAATCAGAGAAGGCATCTTTCTAGCGATTGTGTTAAGTACTTATCGCAGAGAAAGACATGTCTTGGCACTCTTACAGGAGGAACAAGAAATTGTCTTTAAAGCTAACGTCGACGTGAAGTTGAAGAAAGCACGCAACAACAGAATTGAAACTATATGATGGTGTTCATGTAGAAAGAAAGAAGAGACGGTATTACGATATGTAAAGTTAAAGACGAGATCCTTTCTCGTAACTCATTTAAATCGTAACTTATTGGAAGCAAAAACCAATGAATCTTATAACGAAGAGTTTTCTATGTATGTAAGGATTTGAAGTTAGGTGAAAAAGTTGTTCGTTAGATGAAAAACTGCAGGTTATGTGTAGAAATTATCAATTGTACAAAAGACTTCAAACTTGTACGTGAATAGTGATAGTTTTGCGCAAGAGTACGTTGTATTTATATATAATTTGGCAGTTGTGGGTCGTAAAACAAACGTTCTTGAGAAAAAGATTCTTTAAGAAGCGTCTAAAACTTTGATTAAAGGATATGTTAGCAAGAAATGACGGTGATGGGTAACCCAGTAACAGTGGCTTTCGTTACAGTGAAAGGATAACCCACCCAGGCAATGAGAAATGAACGCATTTGCATCAATGCAGTTCGTCCAAATTCGTTCTCTGTTCACGAATACGTTGAGATCAATGCGTCTCCAGCGCAGTCAGCGTACATTAGATTTTAAACTATCACGGAAATATTGCTACTGAGTACAGTTCCGATGTTATCCTGTCTCTTTCTTATGGTGCCATTCGTAGTGATTCCTGATTGATATGTATTTTTAGGTGCGTTATGCCACTACAGCAGCGGCCGTCATGGGTGTGGCAGGTTGCTGCGTTGGTTGTCTCGTATATGCGAGAAGAATCCGCTGTGGTGGAGCACCGTTTCATCACTGATACGGCCATATTTTAGAGAGCACCTAAGAATCATATGTATGCTTTTGGTTTGCGTAGACGAGTTTCCATGAGGAGACGTTTTTAAACGTTATTGATTTCCCGTTAATGCAAACTTTTACGAGGTCTTATTGTAAAACTCATCATTTTGTTTCTCCTGCTTATCTTAGAGAGCTACGTTAAAATAGTTTGTTTCTACACATTCGTTTTTTCGTGGTGGTAGGATTATGGAAAACGTAGTGATTTTAGAAATACTATGATTTTCAATAAATATTTAATGCTTTCACGACATGTGTTGATTTCAATGCATGTGTAGCATATAAGTTCAAGTCGATATCTCCACAGTTGTGCATGCTTGCCACCAACAAGGTGTTTTCCGATGTTTGTTTATTTTTTGACTTCTAAGGCTGGTATTTTCAGTGCAAAGACTCAAACAAGCACGGTTTAGTTTAAGACTAGAATTATGGTAACATTTTTAGAATTTCTAAAAAAAAACCAGCGAGGTCTTCTTTTGCAAGAAGAAGACTGTGCATCCTTTTAGTGTGGTGAGGTGAAGGAAACTGTAGGTATGCTAACTCTTCAACTGTTCGAGAAGTCGAGTTGTTGGAAAATCACTGTTGAACTTGCAAGGTCGCGAATGCGCAAAGTATATAGTGAAGAGCTTGTGTAGTGGTGGTATATAAAGTTTCTCCAGAAGAAATGCGACCTCTTCGCTAATCCATCATTGAGTTTCCGTCGTACTGTATCTGATTTCAACACTACTTACTACTATTATTAATTTATGGGACTTTGTCAAGAGAAAACTTCAGACTTCAGTGCGACTACGAATACGTCACTTCGAGAAGGCGAACGACTGTGAACTATCGACTCGAATAGTCAGCACTGATGCGGACGAAGACGTCGAAACGTTAGCCGGATAAATGTATTTATCAACCTCATGTGGGCGCGTGTGGCGCAGTGGTTGGAGGCACCACTGCGACACGCACGTGGAATCGATCCCCGCGCCCATGGTTCACCAAGCCTTCCATCCCTCTGGGGTCGGGAAATTGCTACTGGACTTGTTTGGGAGGATAGCAGCACTGGCTCGATACGTCGGTAGGCCACCGAGAGTCATTGTAGAGGTCACATATGCATTCAATCGCCTCCAACGATACTTAATGAAGTCGAATGCATGGCGCATCTCTCAGAGATTGATCAACGCAGAAAGCTTTATCCTTTACATTTTTTATCCATGTGGGCTTAACAATTTATACACATGTTGATCATTTTGCTACGGAGGTTAAATGACGATGGGTTTGAAGATTGTTTTATTATAAAACTTGTTTCTCCGTTGCGCAGCTGTCCGCACAGTAACGAGTGGAAGTGTTGCCCATCAGACGATCATGATCCTTAATAAGGACATTTACCATTTCGTCAATGAGATTTTGCGAGATTCTTTACTGCACGTAACTTTTACAAAAGTAGCTATAAATGAAAGAAAGCATAGGAGACTAACAGGGTGCAAATATCTTCAAAAAAATTCCGAGAATTGAGTAACTAAACGTCGTGCTAAGCACAGCCCGTCTCTGCTTCTTGATTTTCCTAAGATCGCTTTAAGTAAATGGCAAAATTTACATATAGAGTGAATTTTTGAGCGTTTTTGTCATCAGAAACTAAACAAAGATACTGTATGTATGTTATCAGTGTATGTTTTCTAATAAGTTCTTTTCGGATGAACAACTAAAGTCCAGCAGTTTTGTCCCAACCTCAACCTTGTTTGGTTTATCAGTAATTTGAACCTTGTGAGTCATCCTCGTCTTTGAAGTTGATTTTTGAATAGAAGTACGGAACTAGGTCTAGGTGTTATTTGGTTCACATCACGACTAATGTAGAACAGCGTGTAGCAAAAGCAGACTTGTTGCCATCACTACCTGTGAAATGAAGACAGAGATGGAGGTGTGCCTTAAACTGGGAAATCATATGTGGTAATAAAAGTAACAATCCAAATCAAGTCACGATTAAGGGCTTGGAAAGTTGATTCACATTCGGCGGAAGCTTTCGGGACGATTCTTCAAGCAACTGGCGACGGTAGGCATATTTGGCAGGTTTTCACAACAAGCGGTATTCCTATCCGTTGAACAGAAGAGTCAGAGTAATTGAAGACCTTGTGCATAATCTGTTCTCAAGGGAAAATGGATAAAATGATTTTCATTCATCGTTATCGTCAAAATTAAACTAGTGGTGCCATATTCTTTGTTTCTACATAGGTGTCTAAGCAACTAAACAAGCTGAATTGCTCCTGTTACGTCTGCATGGATGAGAACTTCCTCGAGGACAACAGAATATGGCTGTAGTGTCCTTTCATTACTGTGGTTTTTGTTAACTACAAGGAATTTTCTCATATCAAAATTTTAGTCAACCGGCACAACCAAGATAACATCTTTCAGCTAGTCCACGATCCTCAGACGATGAAAGAAAGAAAAGGGACATATCAGAAGTTCTTTGTTGTTTAGTCGTACACTAGCAAATATTCGTTCGTCAAAAGAAGCACAATTTTTGCGACACGTATAAAACCAGAAGGATCTTGACATATGAGCAAAACTCGGAACATCGGTTGTGCTTCAAACTCGCGATTGCCTTTTCAGCGGGCTTAGGTGTTATCCACTACATCAACCGAAGCCCTTGCTTTGCTTGTCTGAGCCAGTTTTTTAAAAAATTCTAACGGTGCTATCAGCAATCGTCCATTAAGGATTTTGAGTGAAACTTCGCCTTACCTGGGTTCAACATCGATTTGTGTTCCTCAGATTATTCCCGCTGACCGGTTATTGTTTACAGCACCGTTAGAATTTAAAAAAAACTGGCTCAGACATAGGCAAAGCAAGGGCCTCAGTTGATGCAGTGAATAACACGTGAACTTCCGCAAAACGTAATCGCGAGTTCAAAGCGCACCTGAGGTTCCAATTTTGCTATTTTGCTAGTAACTCACAATTTTGTCCTATGCAAGCCTTCCAGTCTGGTGGAGACTAGCTGCACAGGTCCTTACAAGGGCAAGGAATAGAATCTTCTCCGTTATATCTTTGTGTCCCATGCCTGCCTAGGGAGGTGTTGTTTTTCCACTAGTTTACCAACTAGATGTTCTTTTATACGGACGAAGAGTGATCTAGCCGTTTCGCCAAAGTATTTGTCGTTCCCCTACGCTTTGCAAGAGATCGTGGATGAACTCATGCAATAACGGTCTCTACCATTGGTGCATATTATGCCATTTTGTGTTATACCTAGACAATTATGCAAGTTATAATGAACTAGCTGAGGTTTTGAAGTGTTCCTAGAGCGTTCCTTTTTAAGCAGAGCTTTATAGCTGTGCTTCCTTCGTTGGTGATAAAGACCCGGTTAAACGGGACCTTCTTTTCGCTAAACTTGTCATTTAGGAGTTTTCTTTTTCTTCTAAGCCTGCCCCTAAGAGCTACTGTTTCGTAGCCGTTGGAATTGGCAGTCTGCCGCACCAAGTTCCTCCCGCTCTCTTCCTGTGCACACATTGCTGCTGTTCGAAACACTCACAAGCGTGTTTTTGTGTACAAAGGTTGAGAGGAGAGGTACTCGATCCAGTGTAGGGAATTCGGTAACAGCGAACGAAACACCACGGAACTCTCTAAAACGTTAGCTAGTTTCCAACCGCTGGTACGACCGTATATCCACAACGCAAAATTGCATAATATGCCCTAACGGTAGAGACGGTGAATGCAGGAGTTTGGGCACGTTTTATCCAATCTAGGAGAGAATACATTTGCAAAACGGGTAGACCACTTTGTGTTGGTATAAAAGAACATCTAGTTGAGAAATTCGAAGTCAAACAAAACACTCCACTGGGCACGTACGGGACAATAATACATTACGGAGATTTGAAAGTAAAAGTAACCATTTTTGCACAGAAATCTAAATATTAGCCCGTAAAACTCTTAAAGCATTTTGGATGAATTCTAGAAATTCAAAAAAGAACCGCGTGGAGGAGTACCTTGTGATCAGGTGTGACCTCGCGCCATAACTCAGGATGGCAGGATGGTTTTTAGACTTGTGTCGAGTCCATTATTCACGCATGTAAGACTCTGTACGGCTGTTCTTCAGCAATAACTGGAGGACTTATAAGAAACAAAACGGTATGTGTTCAAAAGACACTGTTCACTTTTCGAATGAAATTTACGTATCAAGTTTTTTTCTGGGGTTTATGAAAGTGTCTGGCCCAGTAGATCGCGTGTCAATTCTAACTTTCCAAGCAGCAGCCATTGTTAAATAAATCTTGCTATCTCGTGTCTGCTCGGGAATAAAATAGTGATTTATCCTCATTTCGTTCAATAAAGGTGTCATATCATTCTTCGAGCCAAATTTGTAATCAATCTTGGGTAGGATGAGTGGTACCTGATAGTAAGGGTACCACTATGCATCCGCTAGGTAGTCGTCATCGTTGATCGTCGTGACCGTACGACTTTCATGATCAACTGCGTAATGGTAGCTGTTCTATAAATTACTTATAAATCATGATTGTAGATGAATAGCTGTGGTCGACAGTGAACCACTGCAAGTTACACACAGCACTTTGTGTAAGAAGAAAGCAAAAAACGTGAGCATTGAAATCAACGTGTGATGTCCATACGCCAGCGTACGTATTGAAGTCAGTGTACGCATGGTCGTAAATGGGCTAGAACTTCAGGTATGAGGTCGCAACTGTATTCAGTTGTATGCGTGAAGATAATGTAGATTGGACATCACTTTATTAATTTTTCAGGTCAGAATGTCATCATAAAAGCACAGTTTGTACATTGCTGGGTATGAACAGTGTTATGCGAATTTCGGAAGAGGGATCGTTTGTCATATCTTCATGTCAGTGCCCTTCCATCTTAACAGATTTCCTTCATAACATGACGAGGTAGAAATCTTCCATCTGTGATAACCATAGTGGTGTGCGCTGCATTATTAATTTCACGAAGTAGTAAGTCACTAAAGACGTTCTTTCCAATCAAAAGTGATGTGGATGCACGTGTGTGAAAGTGAACATAGAGGATCAGTATGCGATGCGAAATTAGACCTAATGCGGGCAGAACGTGATTGCGGGAGCGCCGGAACTGGGAAAACGATCTCGAGACCGATGCGAGAAGAATGTGATAAATGGAGAGAGCCTTTCCCGGATAAAAAGCATAGGGGATAAAGCTCTCGGCGTTGACAAATCCCTGTGGTACTCGCCATGCATTCGACTTCATCTAGCACTGTTAGAGGTGATTCCATGCAAATCTGGCCTATGCGGTGGCCCATTGGTGTCTTAAGTGAGTGCTGCAATCATCTTAAACAAGTCCGGTGCCAGTTTCCCGAGGTGGAGACGGAGGGTTTCGTGGCCCTTGCTCGTGGGATCAGACCAACAACCACGTATGTGCTGCAGGGCTACACTTCTTGTCACTGCGCTACATGCTCCCCTTGGATAATTGACACTTAAGAGCAGTTAGCCAAATTTATGACAACAAATACGACTGTTCTGTACACAAATGTGAGAGCTGTATGCAAAACAATGACGGAATAATAAAGGATAAATAAAAGAATAAACCTTTTGGCATTGATCCATTCTTGAGGGATGTGTCATCCATTCGACTTCATTTAGCATCGTTGGAGGTGACTCGATTCTGTCAACCCAAGTGGGATGGAAGGCTTGGTTAGCCTGTGGCCGCGAGATCGATCCCATGTGTATTTGAGAGCGCCTCCGACCACTGCACTACATGCGCCCCACTATTTTTTTTTGAAGAATAGTCACTATTTTAAGAATAGAAAGAATAATACTAAGCAATATATATCGCTGTTAGCCATAGTAAAAAAAAGTCTGTGCGACGACAGCGATGTGCTGGAACTACAGCGTTATCGATTCCGGCATCTCCATGGTGGGCGAGCGCGGTCGAATCCCGATACTTGCGCAGGACCGCTAAAGTTGTTGTATATTTTCAAGTTGCTTCGTATGTTACGAGTTGCAGAATAATCAACACCTATTTGAAACCTCTCATCTATCTTCTTTTTTGAGGGGATTCAATAAATATTGCTACATTTAGCAGCCACTTCTAGTGTTGGTAAGAACTTGTTCGGTGATCTCCATTTCCTGCTAACTTTCTATCGTAACTTTAAAAAATCCTCTCCGATTAAGGCTTAGAAGGATAACAACAGATCTCCGCTGACTGCTTTTCACATGTAGCGCAGTGGTTAGAGATTCCTTGTAATTTACACATGGTCACGCGACTCGGACTCACCAAACCCTTCCTCCCTCCGGGGTCGACAGATTGGTACCTGACTTGTCCGGGAGGATAGGAGCACTGGTTCGATACATTGCTAGGTACTACGAGTCATTATAACGACCAGGTATGCGTTTAATCATCTCCGACGTTGCTTAATGAAGTCGAATGCATAACGCCATCGGTCAGGAATTGATCAACTCCAAACGCTTTATCATCTTTTTACTTACTAGGTCCTATGAGTGCTACGTGCCGGAATCATCCAAATTCTTCAATTCTGTCGTTATTCTTCATAAATTTGAAAGAGAAATGGTTCACATCCATAGTTATGATTTAGTTGCTCTTCAGTTGGTTGACCTCACACGAATTGCTGACATTACTTGTATTCCGGAAAATGTCCGGCCGTAGTGTCGGCGTAGCTCGCCTACTTAACGCCGACTCTATCCTTGACCTGGACGGCCAGGACACCTGGTCCGCTGAACGGGCGCTCCTGATCCATCGTCGGAACTCTCGTGACACGTCGAGCTCGATGCGTGGAAGGAAGCGCGTTCAGGAATGATCTCCATCTTCTGCATTGGGCATGCGCTGCTCTAACAAAGTTCCATAAATCATTATTCTTATATCCCCTTCATTTCATGTATCTAGTTCCTTCAGTTCATACCATTCTGTTTCGCCACTTTTCAGAGAAGATTTGTTGCTAAAATGGTTTTTTCGAGTAAACAACGTCTCGAAAACAACGTTTGGTTCTCACCATTTATTCTTGCGTAGTTTTCCCCACAAAATTGCTTCACACTTGAAAAAGAAGCTTCGAGCGTTGATATATCCCTGAGGAATGCGCCATACATTCGACTTCATTAAGCATCATTAAAAGTGATTGAATGCATATCTGGCCTTTACAATGATTCGCGGTGGCGTACCGATGTGGCGAGCCGGTTCTGCTATCCTACCTGACAAGTGTACCAATTTGCCGACCCCGGAGGGATGGAGGGCTTGGTGAGCCTGGGGCGCAGAGATCCATCCATTATGTATCGCAGTGTGTCTCCGAGCATTGCGCTATACGCGCTCTGAATGGCTTTATTAGTTGTGAATTCGTAAAACCAGTTAACTACCATTCTGAGAGCATGGGAATTGTCCGAAATTCCATAATTGATTCCGATTAGGGCTATAGCCCGATGTGGAGCAGCCAGTCTCCTCTCTGGCGGCCGACTCGAACTCCTGCGAGGCTGGGAGAGTGTCCCGGGTGGGTGCGCGTCGCCGTCTCGCCCGGGTTCTCGTAGTGGCCGTCTGACCGGTTGTGAGATTGCAGTTCGCCGACGTGGCGCTCCTCGGTTCCACTGTTCCACTCTCACATGTTCTCCCTTCTCCAGCCCTAATCTGACCGTTACTAAACTCTTAAGGATCGTTTCTTGCACGTCTGTGTCGTTGCTTAATCTGTGGTCCTACGATGTGGAATGCTTAGCTCCTTAGCGATATTAAGTCCTTTCTGTTTAGAATCTGAATACTCTTTGAAAATATCTGTGTTCCTGTGCTCTACTTTTACTTTTTTCTATGGCGTGTATGTTCAGACGGATCAGAATAGCGAGAACATATGCCTTGTTAATATAGATTATAATGAAAACGGGGAATTGGACCGGTCTTCATTAAAATGAGAAGCTGAACTCCTTTCTCACATTTTGAGAAACGAGTTAAAAACTAGTGGCGCAGTAGTTTGATCCTGATGGCGATCCTGTTCCTGTTCACAGAAAGGGGATGTGTTCGTTCATTCCTGCTATTCGTGTATGCGAATCCACGCTCCCGACCCGATCATGACTTGCTGTTCCGCTTCACTGGCCTACTTTCCTTATTTTCTTCCCTACATTCCCACCTCCTCACATTGTATCACTTCGAATCATTGTTCAGTAGCTATAAGAGATTCCTACTATATCGTTTTTTTGGGTAATGTTTTTTTGGCAAGGGTAATCGCCTGAGTTCTTGACAAGGATTCCTTTCAGCTACAATCCATAGATGCTGCTTGGATACAACTGCCCAAAAACATCTGTACTAATTGTATCAGACGGTTGTATCATCTGTATTAGATCTTTGGTTTCTTTAAGCACGGAAGAACTTCCTGTGACTATACTCTGCAATCATATGTTTCTCGAGCTGCTTCAGTTTAGCTCGGTTTCTTTCGTTTATTCAAATTTTGTGTTCAGTTAAAGAAATTGGACTTGTTATTTCACCTTGTTAATGTCAATATTAATCTCAGTGTTCTCTTAGGTTATGATTCGTCTTGTGGTAATATTAGTTCTATTAACTCTATCTGATCTCTCTTTGGCCGCGAAGACCTCCAGCCAGCTCATCTCACTTCACGAAGAGAACTGGAAGGACATCATGACAGGAGAGTGGATGGTAGAATTGTAAGTTTTCTACCAGTTGTATCACTAGGAATGTTTAACCTGGTTCTCCCAAAATAACCACTGAAAGCAGAACAAGATCAATGTATACGACTTGAAAGGCTATTTTCTGTATGTTTAGATTTCAACCCTTTAGTTGTTCTAAATGTCTAAAGCTTAAGTGTGAGAGAAGTAGGAGTTCGAGAGAACGAGGTCAGTGAAATATGCGCAGATGTTTTTCTTTAAATTCGTCGATTTCACGAAACCAGATGAAGATGATGAGAGATGTGTGACCTAGGGAAGAATGTAACTTGGAGTTGGGTTGAAATATAGATAAGTTCATATAGTGTTCTTTTCTGTTGTTTTGAAAAGCAAAGGTTTAATAACGATAAAAGATAGAGCTCTCGGCGTTGATCAATTCCTGAGGGATTCGCCATGCATTCGACTTCATTAAGCATCGTTGGAGGGTATTGAATGCATATCTGGTCTTTACAATGACTCGCGGCGGTCTACCGATGTCTCGAGCCAGTGCAGCTATCCTCGCGGACAAGTCTGTTACCGATTTGCTGAAGCCGGAGGCATTGAGAGCTCCCCGGGTTTGGGGCATGGGGACCAGTTCCATTTGCATTTCTGGGCGCTTCCGACCACTGCGCCACAGGCACTCTCGGCCACACCTAAAGGTTTAATACTTTTAGAATATCAGAACAGATCTCCAAAACGTTTTGCTGTGGGAGTGAATACTGTGTTAGTCGTTTTTATTCATAGGGAGATTTCGTCAATATTGATCAAGAAAAACGAGCAAGAGAGGGAGTTCTTGGACAGTAAGCAGCAATTACACGGCAAGCTTTTCTAAATGTTTATCATTAGAGTCGGAGCAGTTAATATGATGCTGTGGAACGAAGAAATTTTACTCAACGTCTTCCTTTTTTTAGAAGAAGAAGGGTGTTGGAACGCTCAGCGTGAGCTTCCAGGCCACTAATAGGAGAGTACAGGTGTGCGAATGAGTCGAAAGTCTTGCCGATGGCTTTTTCTGCGGCACTCGAGTATTGTTCGAACTCTTGTTCAACATTTGATAGCGTCTAGTGTGCTTTTTCGAATGTTGTAACGAGTTCGTTTAGTGCATGTCGAAGTTTTGAGGTCATGTTCTTTAAGGTTCAGACCCTTTCTTCTAGCTGCTGTAGGCTCTTGTGAATGAAGGTGGTCGTTGTTTCACCTTGTTGGTTTTGAATACTGATCTTTTCTAACTGTTCAGTTTTGAATCGAGTTAAACCTTTTCTAATTGGGTGGTATATCGCTAGTGTATTCTTTCGTGAAATACCAGCGCGAGGGGAACAACATGATGGAACCGCAGCAGTTATGTTTTGTTCTTTTTCTCTAATGAAGATAACGTACTTGACTACGGCTCGCTTGATCCTACGATTTGGCCAATACGCCAGTTTCTACGGAAACGTCCACAGTTATAAGAATACCACGTAGTTTTGACTACTGGTCCGATTGACTGCTCGCCTTTTGCATTTACCCCGCAGGACTTAAGTGTATTAGTTACTGCGTCGAACGTCTTGAGGCATCTGGGTTATAGCCGTTCATAGCAATAATACTTACTTGGATACATGGACTGCCCGTCCTCACCGGCTATGTGAGTCCCGGCGCCTTCTTTATTTTTCGGAGATTTGCTGGTTAAGCCATTGTGGTTCCTTGGAATCCTTAGGTCAGCCTGGCCAAAATGTGCCCCAGGTCTTTACCACCATAGGCAGTCACCGCGCTTGTGGATCATAGGGAAATTTGCCACCATGAAATTAACTTGGTACTAGGACGGTGGCAGATCTTGGCATTGGTTTACTCTTAGTTAGGCCTCCTGATGGAAACGCCGGACTCCTTCTGAGCTTGGGAGACCCTTCTGGGGATGAATCCCCTGCTGTAGATCGCAGCCCAACACCCAGGAACACCTCCTAGGCACGATGAGGCGATAAATTATTGTGAGAGTGTGGAGATCAAGTAGAGTTAGTGTTCAGAGGAATATTGTAGAATGTTTCTCATTTCGTACAATCTCATAGAGCTGCTTGCACAGGTGGTTTGTGAATACGGACTATTTAGGGGTTACTTGCTATAATGGGAAAGTTTATAGAGGACATTGGCCTTTGGAGATGACAAAGCGATCTCACACAGTACGAATGGATAGAGAGTATCCCATATTTCTGAAGAATGTTCTCTATAAAGGGAGTCTTTTTTCGAGTCTGTATTACCACAGTTCTACTCACCATGCTTCGTTAATTGAAATAAAGGTTGTTTGAATCCACACATTTTTTCTGACGAGGTGTAATTCTATTTGCCCCTTTGCGTTAAAATTCTGGGTTTCTATCCGAATCCTTTATTGAGGTTTCAGCAGCACCTTGATTGTTTTTCCTAAAAGATGCTATCAAAGTGTTTTAAGAAGCGGTAGTAGGCGTGAATTATTAGTGATATACTGAATGACAGAGTTTCGTATCCCAATTGTTTCAGCTTTTGCCATCATGGTTGAGCGCTATGTAATGAGTTGTTTTTCAAAAGAATTGCTGCATTTCGATTGATCAATGCCCATTGCATATGTTGGTTCTTGATAAGTTTTGTCGATTTACCAAAAATTTTTCCTCGTTTTTATGGTTACGCTAGGTCACCGATTCCATTTTCTGGGTTGGTCAAAAAAAGTCACGGTTTCTGTTGAAGCAGTTTTAGACTGCGGGAATCGTTTCTCTTCTTCATGGTTGTAGAGCCTTGAACAGAACGTTGCAGTGTGTTAGAGAATTATTTTTCATCAAAATTTAAACTAAATCAAAAGAAATCATTTTTCCTGTATAGAAAGCGAGGTTCCGAAGAAAATTGGAATTGCACCGCTTTTTTATGCAAGGATTCAAACCGTTCTATGTGAATTTGCTATAGAACTTCTTCCATCCCCGATCCACCTCCCATCCCTCCTCCTCCTCCTCCTCCTCTTCTTCTTCTTCCTCTTCCTCCACAACACTCCCCAAATTCATCATGAACTTTATAGGAACGTTGTGCTGTGAGTTACGTTGTTTTCAAGTTTGAATCCATTCAAAAGTCAGAACTGCTTTGTCTTCTGTTCTGATTTCAATAGCTCAACCTTAACGCAGTTCGACATAAAGGTCGTTTTAAAGTCTTATTTTATATGAAGAGGATGACATGTGTTGTTATTTTAAAACCTAACGTCAATTTTTGAACAGACAAAACCTGCATTAACGAACATAACAGGGAAAACGCTTATCCCGCGTTTCCGCGTTGGGTTTATAGTATTAGGCTAAAATATTTGCTTATGTTCTCCTGTGTTAGCCCTCCACGTTGTAGAGATATAGAGCTGTTGTGTACTGGCGAATTTTTTTAAGTCTCTTGATTTCTTATCGTAATGAATGCCATTGTGAAGTGCTGGTTGTCTAGGTTTTTTTGGTAGAAGATTGTTTAGAATTTGTATCCCTGGTTTAATATAAAAGCACGTTAGTTTGACGGAACGCTTTAGTCTACTAACCCTTTTGGAGTGCGGGAATAATCATAACATGACCACAATGATGCTGAGACATATGCAAAACTCCAGGTCGCAGGTGTCAGCGGTGGGGAACGAACGCGCTGTTACCCTTTCGGGGAGCTGCCGCGTTCATCACCACACCATGCGGATCCTTCGTTTCGCCTGTCTTTCAGCTAGTTTTCTATCTATTAGTGCCATCATCATCACATCATAAGATGTTATCAGTTTCAGCCACGCTCCTTGGTGTCCAGCGTGCAAAGATCTGCAAAAGGCGTGGAATGCATTTGCTGACTGGTCTAATGATCTTAATATTAAAGTGCGATTTTGACATTTCTTTCCAATTTTTCTACACCTTTCATCATTTCTCATCCTTAAACATTCACGAGAAGAATTACATTATCGGTATCTTAACAGGTGGGAGAAGTCGATGTTACCGTAAATCCAGGTCTTTCTGGACGTTTCCTGGTTACCGCGCTCCCAACAATTTATCAGTGAGATGTTTTATTTTCTTGACAAGTAGGTTACATGGAGTAGCTACTCTAAAATGTTATTTCAGTGTTAAAGACGGCGTCTTTCGGGTTTATTCCGGTCCTCGGGACAAAAATGACTTCATCACTTTTATTGAAGACAAAAGATGGCTTAGCATCGATGCGGTTCCAGACTACAAGCACCCTAATAGCAAGCAGTAAGCTTTATGAAGACCGTTTCTTTTTGGTTTAGTTTTTGAAGGGCTTCGTGTGTTTACGGAGGTTAAAAGCGGTAAGCCAATTCAGTAATCATTATTTTCATTTTTACCCCAGAAAACTGTCGATAATGTAACATGCATTGTATTCACTTGATCTTTGAATTTAAATATTCCGCTCGATATCTATTTGTCTAAAATAAATACTAACTGGGCCAGGTGAAAAGGAGTTTTCGGATTTTAAATAGCGATTGTGCTCAGCAGCTGAAAAAGATCGACTAGTTTCGACGGTTGAAGCAAATCGTACACAACCAGAGAGACGTCAGAGCCAAAATTCTACAACAGTTTGACCATTTAGAAAGGTTCAAAAATTATTGGTTGGTTGAACTAAGTCTTTGCCGAGGGTTTCTTAAAAAGTTCTCATTTCAACGGCACTTTTACTTGGATACTTCAATGGTCTGTTTCCACGACTTTGCTGACCACAACACATCTGTTCGTGTTTTGTCTATAGTGGTCGTGAATCTAATCTGAGGGCGCTGGAATGTATTTCGTGAGACATGAGTTATTTCTATCTGCGAATGAAGACGGTTGACATGAGCGACAAACACGCACATGTAGGTAAAGGTTACTGCAAAAGGACGTTTGCATCAGCTTGAATTCCACTCCACAGTGCTTTTTGGCCATCTTCCATCCGTTTTTCTTAGTATACGACCGGCCCGTTTTTGCTGGACTATCGGTGTATATTCTCATGGATTTGAGATTGGGTTAGACTCCGAAGATCTGTGCTGCACTTCTCGACTAAGCCGATGTAATTGATGTATTGTCTTAAGTCTTTGTATCTGAGAGGGTCGTTAAACTGAAAATGAGTGCAGGGTTTCGTACTGTGTAGGGCTAATGACTTTCCTGATAAGCTCCAATGCGGCTAATCCTACTCCTCTTTTTCTGTATAATTCCTCTTTCGTGTTTCTATTTGTGTTCATTGAACGCTTAAGGTACATCTCTTAATAACTCAAAAGACCGGCTTTCTATAAACCTCTGCATGGATAGTTAATATATTTATTCATATGATCTTATAAATTGATCTTCTTTAGCTGATGCGAGGTTGGTATAGGTACGAGGTACTACGAGTGGGACTCGTAACATCATGGCTCTGAGGAAGACGAAGTCGCCGAAACGTCAGCCGTCGACCAACGACACCAACAACAACGATAACGACAACGAAGACCTATACCAACCTCGCATCAGCTAAAGAAGATCAGTTTATAAGATCATATAAATAAATGTATCAGTTTAAGGTACACCTACGAGGTGGTGTCTATAATCGAAGGACTATCCATCTCGATATGTTCGCCTTTGCATTATGAGTTTCCGATGAACGGCTTAATGACAACGTTATCACAAAGACAAAGATTAGACAACTTTCCGTCAATGCTTATACTTCTCGTACTAGTCGGACGTCTTCGATACCCACTGTCATGCGACAATGAACAGCTTTGGCAAGGTAGTGTCGCCCTGTTGTACTTTTGTATTTGGTCGGTAGAAAAGCTGTACTTTCGTAATGAGATAAGTCAGATAAATTTGCTCTATTAGGTACTTCCGTGACATGCACTGATAAAATTGCATTCGTTTCGACGCTGTCAAACGTTTTCTCGTAATGAAGAAAAGTTAGGACAAGAAGCAAGTAGTACTTCTGACGAAATTCCATGACTCTGGACGCGGTTCGGTGTCGCCTATGCAGCAGAATCTTTGTGGAAATCACACTGCGCATCTGGTTGTGCATCTAAACTGCTTGGTGTGCGTTGTAGGATAGTCTTCGTGAAAAGCTTATAGAGCACGATCAAAAAGCAAATTGGGTGGAAGTTATAATGGTCCCTTCAGTCACCTTTCTTGACTATGATGACCGTGCGCGAGATCGTCCACTGGTATGAGACCATTTTTTTTGAAGGTGGTTCGAATAGAATGCCAAAAAGTAAATGTAATCTGTGGCTGCAAGTAAGTTGGCTGTAATGTTATTTAGTTCTAGAGATGCCCTTGTCTTCATGCTTTCCATTGAAGCTCTCAGAGGAGGAATCTGTGATAGTTGTCCATTAGCGGGGATTTTGGTGTCTGCAAAGGATATTGTGAAACGAAGAACTGTATCCTAGCGGAAGGTGGTGGTAGTCCCACCTTCATTTATCAGAGGTGATGGTGAAGTATGTTAAATGATGCATTAAGTTCGCATAAGTCCCACCGACGCTTTATCATACTGGTCCTTCATTGTACTGTTTGCTTAGAAGATACTTTTTCATTGTGCCTTGTATGGTAATTTGCTAAATATCATATGTAACTTATATATTCACATGATTGCTCGTAGGTTAGTAAAGAAATAACTGTTCGATGAGTTCAGTTGAAGGAAAAAACTACAGAAATTTATTAGCGAATTTAGAAGCGGATTTCTTTCCTTAAGAACAATACATTTGTCACAATTGTGGGGATGACTACGTAGCTTGGATATAAAGGATAAAGCTCTCGGCGTTGATCTATCTCTGAGGAATGCGCCATGCATCCGATTTCACTAAGCATCGTTGGAGATGATTGAATGCATATCTGGTCTTTACAATGACTCGAGTTGGCCTACCAATGTATCGAGCCAGTGCTAAAAGCCTCCCAGACAAGTCTGGCACCAATTTACCGACTCAGGAGGGATGGAAGGTTCGGTAAGCCTTGGGCGCGGTAATCGATCTCATACGTATTGCAGGGAAACTCCGACCACTGCGCAGCATGCGCCCCTGTAGCTGGAGTAAAAATAAAGTTTTGGTTGGTTCTACAAGGTGGTTGGCAAACAATAAGTTACTTGGAATGTTTTCGCTGATATTAGTCACATTTTCATTAATTTGGAGCTAATTATCGACAAAAACTACTCCAAAGAGGTGTTATTGATTTATTTCTGTGCTTTAAAAGGTCAGTAATTTTAAAGTTGGAGATTGTAAAGGATCGTAGTGTAACACTCGATGAGGATATGGTTTGTTTCGCAGTTTCTTTTTAACCCAACTTTTACTTCTTGTCTACCAAACGGTCCTTGTTAGAACTTCCAAATGAAATTTTTACCGTCTTTGATTATAGACATTTAGGATGGCCGTTGTTGCAGTTTTCTTCAAATTGTCTATGGCTGTTCGTGATCTTCACAATCACCTTGTCGAAGTCAAAGGAATACCGTCATGGGCATCGTATTCGTTGTTTGCCGGTGTCACTCTCGCTCTTGGATGTATCCTTGGTTTCGTGAGTATTCCATATTGGGTTTCACTGCGGTTTTGTGCTTTCGGTTTCTCTTTATCTTGACAGAATGTTTTTTTTTCAGTTCATTGTTCTAATTATTGACCAAGTTTTTCCCACTGGTTCGAAAAAAGGTGTAGTTCAACCTAAGAAAGAGCCTAAAAAGGATTCAAACGGAGCCACAAAGAAAGGTATGTTAGAAAATAAAGGCAATTAAGTAGAAGCTTCTTTCCAACGTGACGTCATTTCGTAACTTGTGTTTGACGTGGTCTTGTCCCCTGGATAATTAAGCATCCTTCTGGTTTCACTAAATCGTTTTCTGTTGAAAATTTCTTGGATTTCTGGTCCAAATTGTCTTTAATGGTTTCAAACTCGTCGATTCCAGCAGAAGAAGCTAAAAAAAGAGAGAGTAATTCACCAAAGCCAGAAACGAAGAAGACTAAGTGAACAGTTATGCCGTCGACAATGATTAATGCCTGAGGACTTCAGCTGATTGTGTTTTCACTCTGATTTCTCAAGATCGCTTCATAGTGTTGGTTGTGCACAACGTTCGAAACCTGTGTTGATGTTTTGTATAGCTCCTCCACTTAAGTCACTTATCGCTATGGGTTCTTACAAATGTGCCCTCAACTGACAACAATATAGAAGTTTCCTTCTGCTTATCATCATGTTTGGTAAATGTTTTACTCCGAAAATGCTGTGTTGCGAAAGATTTGGAGCCATACTGGTGTGCAGCCTGGCCGGATCGATGGGTACTCGTCACTGACGTGTTCGCTCTACCATTCGACGTCCTTCTCTTTTTCATTAATGTCCTGCCATTATCTTAATATTTGCTTTCTTTAGGAGTTTGATGACTTAAATAGGTTGTTTGTAACACTTTATCTTTGTTATTTTTGTTACGAGTGCTGAACTATTATCAAATTATCTATGTTTTTTCTGTAAATGTGACGTTCGCAGAGCGAGTTTATCGAGTCTGGGTAAACTCCATAATAAACATATCGGTTGTCGAAGTGTGAACCTTACTAAACATAGTGAATTCTACAATCGTACGGAGCATATTATGCCCATCAAGGTCGGATTAAATTGTGTTCGTATCACAAACGTATCTGTCATGTTTACTTCATCCGATCTTTTTAAAACAATATTAAAACTTCTTATATAATCAGTTTTGTATACTCGATTGTTTTCTATATTTAGAACTAAGGTGTCATATGCATTAAGCAGTACTAAGGAATCCTCCCAATGGTTTACCGCCTTATCGCGACTGGAAGCTGTTCCTGGTTGTCGGGCTGCGATGCACAGCGGTGTGATTCATTCCGCCGGTAGAGCCTCCCAAGCTGAGGAGTCCAGCGTTTCCATCAGGAATCCCAGATCAGAGTAAACTAATGCCAGGGTACTCCACCGTCCTGGTAGCGAAGTAGTCGCATGGTGGCAAATCTCCCTCTGATCCGCAAGGGCGGCAACCCGGGACAGACTTTGGCCAGGCTGACCTCGGGGCTCCAGGGAACCACCACACTAGCTAAACCAGCAGGACTCTGAGAAATGAAGTGTCCTCGTTCCCGCCCAACCAGTGAGGACGGACCGTCCAAGTATCCAAGTGCTAAAGAATGTATGATCAGAATAAGCATTTCAATTTGGGCAATGTTTTCAGAACTGGCTCCACGTCGAACATTGCACTAAGAGCAGTAGAATATAGGTAAATATGGGTAAAAGTGTATCTATATAGCCAATGACCACATCGATGTGCAAATGTAGATCTATCATCATGCAAAAATATATCATCGTGGAGTACTTGGGTTTTCTTCTAATAGTCCTCGATAGCCTCTTACTGTTGCATCTCTCTGATTGCTGTCATCACACCAATCTTCTATCGAAGTTAGGGTTTATGCCGTGTAGTTTTGCATCTTTTTTGATCAAGTTGTTCTTTGGTGATTTGCTATTTGAAGGTATAGTTTCGTCATGGCAAATCTGGAATGGCAAGCACTTGAATCCAACCCCGACACAATCAATTCGGCAAGTGCATGTTCAAAGTCTCTGTACTACTTATTAGCACTCTTCATTCAAGAGTAAGTCATTGAATGTTCATTAAGCTGATGGGGAAAATTGGTGTGGAGACTGTGGAATGTGTCGACATCATCTCATTCGATGACGAGGTACTGAAGGATCTACCGAAACCGCAGCTGGCTGTGCTTCTTTGTCTGCCTGACTACGAGAAGGTCAGTTGATAAGTTTGTCTGTTGAGTTAGTTAGTGGATTGCCGTTGGCAAAAATGAAGTCACTACAGATGTGTGGTGAGATTGAGTTCCATATCTGCTTTTTACGCTGCAATAAATGTGAAGTGATCGGGATGTTGGCTAGATAAAGTGGACGATTACAGTAAATAGTGCATATTCTACATAGTGCAGAGTATCGAATGTTAAGATAAATCGAAAAACATATCGTTTTACATCTACCTTAAGATGTGACCTCTATAGGGGTCACACGATGCGAAAGTAGTGGTCCCTTAATGATGCTGAGATATTTGCAAAATTCCGGACCGCAGGTGTCTGCAGTGGGGAACGAACGCGCTATTACCCTTTGCGAGGGCTAACGCGTTCTCAACCATGCCATACGGGTTCTTCGTTTCGCCTCTCTTTCAGCTAGTTTTCTATCTACCAGTGTCATCGCTTTGCCATCCAGTGGTCGCATCCGTCTTCCAATCAGCATATTTCAGCCTATAGTGAATTTTATTAGTTTCAATGAAGTCTCTTACAGTGCACAAGTCTTTACCTATGGTGCAACAATTATCTTGTTTTATATTTTTCTTCAATAAGCAGACACGAAGTTGTTATTATAAAATTTATTAGGATACAATAGCCGACGTTTCGGCGGTTTCGCCTTCTTCAGAGCCTGGAAAGGTCAAATTGAGATGCGATCTGCTCAGCCAAACACTTTCATAACCGTAGCAGATAAGCTGTTTCTTATGCAAATACAAATTTATTTGTTGAGTTTTATCTGCTAGAGTTATGAAAATGTTCGGCTGAGTAGATCGTATCTCAATTTGACCTTTCCAGGCTCTGAGGAAGGCTAAACCGCCGATACGTCAGCTATTATATCCTAATAAATTAATAATAACAGCCTCGTGTCTGCCTATTGATGAAAAACATCAAATTATCAATCAATGCCGAGGTCAAAGTCGATCTTGGGAATATATTGTTTTAATACACTGAAATTGTGATATTCTGATCCCATAACATATGGTCCTTTCACTGTATTGCTCCTCAGAGCTCATAGTTTAAGCACGAACAAAACAGAAACAGAATTCCAGAAACATGAACAGACAGAATTTCCTCCAGCGGTACACGACGATGTTTCCTAGTGTACCACTTATGTTTGCAGCTCCGGCTGTTCCGTTGCAAATTTTAAAAAAACTGGATCTCGCTTCTAATTTTTTGAAATCCTAGTTCAAAATTTTCCTTTAAATGTGGAAGGACTTGTACATGTAGTGGATTCTATTCGGAGGAGTCTCTTCTGTAAGTCTGTGATGCTATGAATTCTTGATATACTTTTGTGATTAAGAAACTATCGTTAGTTGCTGAAAAATCAAGAACGCGTGTGGGTAGCGCAGTGGTCGGAGGCGCCTTGCAACACACATAGGATCTTATAAACTGATCTTCTTAAGGTAACGCGAGGTTGGTACAGATCTTCGTTGTCGTTGTCGTTGTCGTTGTTTTTGATGTTATTGATCGATGGCTTACGTTTCGGCGACTTCGCCTTCCTCAGAGCCTGGACGTATTTTATGTTAGAATATTTTTATTATTCGGTGGAAAAGAAGGTTAAAGTATTAATGAGGATCAAACTTTCAAATAAACGCCATATTGAACAGAAAGGGCACTCACCGTGATGTTACGTGCGGGACTGGCCCACACGTCTTAATGCGACAAAAGACCTACTTTCTTCGCCGCTGCTTAAAACATCGAATTATTCCTAACTTTATAAAACGTAGGAAATTATACGAAGTATACGGCTTACCGGGGAGCTCTCAACAAATGCTGTGCATCGAAATGAAACTGCTACGAATTTCATTGCGGTGCACACAAAACGAAATGTTTTAACTATTAAACAAATGTGTGTACAAAGAAAACCATTGTGCTGAGCATTTGGAGAAAAATCTTTGGAAGAGAATAGTAGCTGGGTCTAAATCGGTATGCGGAAAGATTCGGTGTGATATTAAGAGCAAGTCAGGGAAAAAGTTTGAAGATCTATCACGCCGCTCAAAAAGGTCAAATGAAAGGACCACTGCTAGTCAAGTCCCAAGTAGAAACCCTGAAATAGACTGCGCACCAAGAACATCCAGAGTTACTGTGCTAGAAGGTATAACGCTTCCGGAAAATGTGGGTTCCTTGTTAGAATTGGGTCCGAATTTTGCACCTAGTCAACCCATTTCTAAACCAATCCTGCGCAGGATCACGTGTAGTCTACATGAACTTCAAGATCAGCTACGTCACAGGGTTAGGCTAGAAAGGTTAGGTAAAGTAGTATCAAGGGGGGAACTACTACCAATACCCTTACCCCGAACCTTCTTTAAACAAGAGCTACTAAATAGCGATATTGACCCTACATTTCGTTTATTTTCGGACGAAATTCTCCGCATACTTAATCTCTACCAAAAACGAAAAATAAGCTCCAACCTTACAAACCAGCAAAAATGTGGTATGCCCCAGGTTAGAGAGGTTTTGAATTCAAAATCTGTTAGACTTTCTATAAGTGATAAAGGCGGAGAATTTGTAGTCCTTCCTAGTCAGTTGGATGTTAGGATAACAGAGGAGCACCTCAGTGATGTTTCTCTCTATCGAACATCCTCTGAAAAGGAATACAGAAATCAATACCGAAAATTGAATCAAGAATGGGTCAGCACGGCAAAGGCCGCGGATTTAGGGCCTTCAGTTATTTCTCGACTTAAGAACGAACACCCGATTTGCCCTGTCCTTTACTTGCTTATTAAAACACATAAGCTTACTTTAACTGATGATATTACATCAACGAACCCATCATTATATAAGGTTAGACCTATCATCAGTTGTATAGGCGGGCCAACGGATAGAATAACGTGGTTCCTAACCCAGCTGCTAAAATTCATTACAACCCATCTACCTAACACCAAAATATTTCTAGATCACCTAAGGCGTGCGAAACCAAACAGCACGCATATAATGGAGTCATTCGATGTTAGTTCACTTTATACCAACGTGTCCAATGACTCCGCAATGCAAGCCATTCTCGAGTTGCTCGTTGAGCATGAAAAGAAAATAAAAATGCACGGCTTGCCGATTGCGCAACTAATGACCCTCTTAAAACAGTGTCTTAGTTGTTCAATCTTTAGGTGGTCTGGAAAATGTTTTGCACAAATTAGAGGGTTTGGCGATGGGGCAGCGTTTAGCACCAAGCCTTGCCATCGCTTTCATGTCTAAGGTGGAAGCTCCAGTTCTCGATCACCGGCCCTTACTCTACTGTCGATACAAAGACGACTGCTTCATCGTCTGTTCCACACAAGAACAGATGGATGAGTGCTTTTAATTATTAAGCCGACAGTCAGAGTATATAAAATTTACACGAGAAAAACCTACCGAGAATTGGATTCCATTCTTAAACATCCAAATAAAGCTCTCAATAAGTGGCTATGTAACAAAATGGTATCGTAAGCCAAGTAGTAAAAACATTCTAGTCCACTGCCTCTCCTCTCATCCTTCACACTTGAAAAAAGCACTTATCAAAAATATGTATCGTACGGCTAAAAATGTGTGTTCAGGAAAAGAAGAAAGGAAGGATTCGCGAAGCCTGGCACGGAAAATTGCCATTTCCAATGGCTACGAAGTAGAGGCCACTCGGGTTAGAGGAAAACATTGGGTAGTTTCCCAAAATAATATTTCAGACGAAAGTAGGATCCCCTGTAAGCTGCCCTTCATATCAATTGAAGTAAGTCACGCCATTAAAAAGTGCTTAAGAAAAAGTCTTAAAAAATATTTAACGATTATTGACATCCCACCCAATACCCTACGCCGTCATTTAGTTCAAAACCGTCTCTATGATCGTTTGTGCAGCTCAGAAAACTGTATGATCTGTCCTAACGGGAGAGACGGCGATTGCATGAGTTTAGGTATAATATACTTGATCTCATGAAACGCATGCGGTGAGGAATATATCGGGGAAACGGGTAGACCACTTTGTGTCCGCATAAAAGAGCATCTAGATGGAAAAGATAAAATCCGGTTAAACACCCCTCTAGGTACGCATAGGGCACAAAAGCACAACGGCGATGGTTTTGAAGTGAATGTGCGGATCCTAGCGCAGGAATCAAAAACATCAACGCGCAAAACTCTTGAGGCGTTTTGGATAAATTTCAAAAATCCAAAGATGAACTGGAAGGACGAATGTCTCACTATCACGCGTGACCTGGCGCCCTATTTCAAAATGATATTTTGACGCCGGGGTGTGTCTTGCTCGCGACTCCACGTGAACTACGTGTGGGCCAGACCCGCACGTAACATCACGGTGAGTGGCCTTTCTGTTCAGTATGGCATCTATTTGAAAGTTTGATCTTTATTAATACTTTAACTTTCTTTACACCGAATAATAAAAATGTTCTAATATAAAATACGTCCAGGCTCTGAGGAAGGCGAAGTCGACGAAACATCAGCCATCGATCAATAACATCAAAAACGACGACAACGACAACGAATCTGTACCAACCTCGCGTCAGCTGAAGAAGATCAGTTTATAAGATCACATAAATAAATGTATCAAATATCTATGCCGAGGTTTATAGAAAGTCGGTCTTTCGAGTTATTAACACATGGGATCGATCTCCGCGCTCGTTGCTCACCAAACATTCCATCCCTCTTGTGTTGGCAAATTGCTACTAGACTTGTCTGGGATGTTAGCAGCACTGGCTCGATACATCGGTAGGCCACTGGGAGCCATTGTAAAGGCCAGATCTGTGTCCAGTCATCTCCGACGATGTTTAATGAAGGCGAATGCGTTGGGCATGCTTTTGGGATTGATGAACACGGAGTGCTTTAGACCTTTGATTGAAAAATAATCCCCTTTAGGGAAAGAGTTAATAGTAGACTGTAAGAGCAGGTGTCATTCTAGGCTTCCATCTATAAGTTTGGAATGAGTTTCATATACAGCGTTAGACTCCCACGCTTTATGAGAATATTTGCCAACAATCGCGTTCCTTTGGTTTATTCCAGTTTAAAATAGCTTCTGAACCTCAGGAATAATTCCCTAGATTCTATACTGCTTTCTTGAGGTTCTTATAGGTTCATGCTCTTATGGCTCCAGTGTACGACAAACTCTTCTCGGAGTCCGTGACCACACCCGAAAATGTGTTCTTTATGGAGCAAAAGATTGGAAATGCGTGCGGTACATTTGCACTGTTTCATGCGTTGGCGAATGTCGAGGACCTTGTTGATCTAGGTGAGTGTTTAAACCACGTCAGCTTACTTAGTATTCATTGTAACTCCTTCACAGGTTCTGGACCATTCAGAAAATGGCTCGAAGCAGCAAAAGGGGTACGTGTTGACCAGAGGTCGGCTCTACTTGCTAACGGTTAGTCCTTATTTTTCACATTCAATGTCTCTACCTAACCATTATGCCCATTTCAAGCATGCTACTTTTCTTCGAACGTAAATCGCCTTACGACACATTCACGGGCATGGACCAGACTGTGCGCGTTGAACTTTGACCTGCCACGACAATGCGTCTGTGGTGTGAAATTTTGGACAGGGCACATTGATCCGTTTGCACTTTGTTCACGGTTGTTTGTTTTGCTGCAGAAGCGTTTCCTGCGGTAATTTTCGTACTAAATCAACAGGTCCCATGTTATAGATGTTCTGTCTAAAAACCTCTGGTAGATCTGGTAGAACTCTGCTGCTCCGAGTTTTCATTACTGGCAGTGGGTATGCTACTTGTAATCAGTACACTATTGGTGCTGTTCAGTCCCAAAGTACCAGTTATAAACAGCTCTTAAGAATGTATCGGTTTTATGTATCCAGCCTGACGGAATTGGTCCAGTTGAGACCGACGGTTATTGACGAGTTATGTGTCACAGGGCCCCACACTGTTTAACCACTCGCCTTTAAATTAATCATCGTGAAGTGTTAATCATCAAGCTCTCCCTTAAGTACACTTCCAGACTGATCTGAAGCACAAAGGATTACTAATTGACCTCACCGCCTTTAGCTTCACGGACCACTGAATTCTAGTTACTCCTTATCAGTAGTATATCGAAAATGACGTTGAATTCTTCTGTCGAAGTGATTGAAGCGTATAGAATTCAATTCATAGCCAGTAATAAACTCGTCTTCCTTTTGCAGTCACCGTGACGATTCTTGATTGTTGTGTTGTAGCGAAGAATGTAAAAAATGTTTGCAAATTCCGAATTATGCTATGGTTCGTGATCAGTCTTACTGGAGCTGATTATCAGAAGCAGAAAGCACTGTGGATGAATGAGGGGCGGGTTGTTTACCATATATAAGAAATATACCAGTTAGTTTAAGCGGTAGTATTCGTTGGGTTTGCTTATGCCCCAAATGTATCAGTTGGTTCATGCTGTATGCTTTTTTCTGTTAACCTGCCGCGTAGGACTTTTCGAGGGTTGCCGGGGTTCGAACCGTGGACGTTAGAACAACAAGAAGATGAGGAGGATAATAACTTACAACATAAGGACTTAAGAATAAATTCGATACATCGATCATGTAGGATTGTGTAAACTTATCACAGAGTGACAAACAAATAAAATGTGGAAGAGCTGATGTTACAAGCTAGTAGTGGCTTCTGAATACCGTCTCAGTGCATGCTACTGCAGAGCGAGTGACCTTTCCTAGCTGATGTTTCCACGATTGTGGAAATGTTGACATACTAAGACAGTACAAGCATTTTTTGGCTAGCTGCGAGGCTCAACATAGGCCAGCGATTATGACGCATTCTAGAAGTAGTATTAACAAATTGACTTTGTAGAATGGGACACAGATGACAAAAAGACATACTGTAGTATACAGAGATGGGAAACACTCCTTACGAGGTGGAGAATGAAAAGACCATGCATTCGACTTCACTAAGCATCGTTGGAGGTGCACATCTGGCCTTTATTTACAATGACTCGCGGTGGCACACCGTCGTATCGAGCCAGTGCTGCTCTCCTCCCGGACAAGTCTTGTACCAATTTGCCGACCCCGGAGGGATAGAAGGCTCAGTGATAGCTCACCGAAAAATTCTGAGCGCCGGGATCGATTCAAGGTGTATTGCAGGGCGCCTCCGATGACTGCGCTACAGGCGCTTTTATTCACTGCAATGCAAGTATAAACATTTTTTGGCGTGATAATTTTGATAATTTCACCTTTAGAGACTCCTTTTCTTATGGAGACGGTAAGAGTTCGATGGGAAAATTTTTTTATATCCATCCTAACCGGGAAATTTTTCAAGCTGTCTTGTTTTGACTTAAATAATGTGCGTGTCGTTTTCTTGTTCAGCAATCGCGAGGTTTTAAAAACCTCGCGATTGCTGAACAAGAAAACGACACATTCATATTCCAATGCCGAGGTTAAGAGAAAGTCGATCCTGCTAACTAAATAATGTGCGTTCAGATTCATCGCTTGTGGCAGCCCATAACGAAGCGGCCATTCTTGGGGTTTCTCGTCAGCCGGCCGAAGTGGAGCATCACTTCATCTGTTATGTGAATAGAGACGGAACTCTATTCGAAATAGGTAATTCCGCTTGTTTTTCCCTTCTCTTCGCCTTATATTTTCTGAGGTTCTGGACAAAATGGTTCTCCTCATCCAGATTCGCGTGCTCCTTTTCCGCGAGCGATCGGTGCTACCAGTGGTGATACCCTCGTGAAGGATGCTGGCGCTGCTTGTAAACGTCTGATGGATGAACTTCGTAGTGTTTCGTTTGCTGCTATGGCTCTTCTTCCAAAAAACTGAATCAAATGCTCGTCTCTTTCCGGTTCTATTGCTTGGTTTGTTTGCAATAGCTTTCGTTGTACAATCATGGTGCTTTCGCTTCAATTATTCACGTTCTAATCATCACTTTTCATTGTCATCCGGTCGCTTTACAGGTGTTCTTTTCTGTTTTGTTTTTGCCTCAAAGGTTTTCTTCTATCTTTCGATGACTTTCCTAGTCCATCTCTTTTAGTCTGTCAGTCTGCGACATCAATAAATCGCTTCATCGCAGTATTCTTCGATGATTTCACCGTTCTTCATCGTGTTCTACTTTCCTTTGCAAGTTGCTCATGTTGATTATACTGCATTACAAAAGATACTGTGCACCTATCGTCCCAACAGTTTACTGCCTCATCGTGACTGGGAGGTGTTTCTGGTTGTCGGGCTGCGATGTACAGCGTGGGGATTCATCCTCTAGCAAGGTCCCTCAAGCTGAGAAGGAGTTTGGCGTTTCTCTCAGGAAGCCTAGCTAAGAGTAAACCAATACCAGGATACACCACAGTCCTGGTATCAAAGCCGCGTGATGGCAATTCTCCCTCTGGTCCACGATGGCCGCGACTGCCTGTGGTCTGGACCTGGGGCAGAATTTGGTCTAGCCGACCTCGGGACTCCAGGGAGCCACAGTGGCTAATTCAGCAAAACTTCGAAAAAGTTGGGATTATGCTGGGGTCCGCATATCGGTGAGTATGGGACGTCCAAGTATCCAAGTATTGTGCGAATGTAATCCACTGCGATCTCGGGGTTTGTTTGAAGGAGGAATAGAATTTCACTCGCTTGGTTATTAACTCCAGACATGGATGCATGCCTTTATAGGATTTTTAACGTGTTAAGAAAAGAAATCTTGGCTGTCATTCGCATTATTTTTATCTATATAAGTTTTTCCCGTAAATTTTCCTAGGATGGCTACACAATGGCGTGCGCTCGAATCCAACCCGGAGACGATGAACGCCGTACGTGTGTTTCGGTCTATTTTTTTTACTAATTTGTATTGTTTTTGACAGTTCTTCTTGGTAGGTGACGAATTGGCCATTGGAAATGCCCCATGCAGAATTGGTAGGAACTGTACCTCGATTGACGTGCCCATTCTATGTTTGAAAAGGGGACCTTATGGAGCCGTTTATCATGACAGTGCCTGCTGTGTTCTCTTTTTACCAGTCTTTTTTTGAACTGCGCTGATAACTCGTTTTTGAATGCGTAAGTAGTTTATAACTTTAAGTTTTATGAGGCTGCCAAAAAACCCACGTATAATTTTATGTTCTTACGGACTTCGTAGTTTTTCGTTAAGAGACCATGTTTTTTCCATAACTAGAGTTGTCGGAGAGGGTAGAAATACGATAGTATTATGGAAGGTACTTTGTTTACCATTGCTTTAACGCTGAAAGGGTTAAAACTGTCAGCGTTGATCAATGCATGAGATATGCGCTATCTTTTCGACCGCATCAAGTTGGTGATTGAATGGCATGTATGGTCTAGACAATGATTCGCAGTGGCCTACCGATAGGTCAGTCTATCCAGTGCTGCCATCCTCTCAGACAGGTCTGGCACCAATTTGCGGACTGCGGAGAGATGGAAGGCTTTGTGAGCCATGGGTTCGGAGATCGATCCCATGTGTGTTTTGCAGGGCGCGTCCAACCAACTCGTGTTGCTGCGGTCCCCCCTGCAAACAAATTGATGTAATCATTTGAAAATGTTTCGTAGTTTATAGTGGCTCTATTTCTGCTTAATTTATGCAGAAACCATGGTTTATCACAGAAATTAAAATTGCAGTAACAGTTAACTACTCATTAGATTGCCGGTAAGGGAACTAGTTTGGAAGGAGGTTTTTGTACATTTCTAAGCTCAAGATAGAGCTTTACTGGCCGTCGGTAGTTACAACATATGTTGCGGGAGCCATTCAATAAAAAAACAAAGGATAAAACTCTGGATATTGACCAATACCTGAGAGATGAGGCATGCGCTCGACTTCATCAAGCATCGTTGGAGGTAACTGAATGCATATCTGACCCATACATTGACTTGTGGTAACCTACCGAACTATTGAGGTAATGCTGTTATTCTCCTAGATGAGTCTGGTACCATTTTGCCGACCCCGGGGGTTGGAAGGCTTGGTGATCCGTGGGTGCAAGATTAGTCCCATATGTATTGCAGGGTACCTCTAACTACTGCACTACACGTGCCCGTGAGGTGTTGAATAGTTAAGTAAAAATGAAGCAAAGTAAACGCCCGAAAAGAAAATGCACCATATATGACTAGGTTTAGCCTAATTGTCCGGAAACACATACATCATATAACTTATCTTGGCATTAGTGGGTTGAAGAATCTTGCGAACACACTACAGTTTCTGTTCGTTTCATCCTTTTCTAATCCGTGCTCAGCAATATAGGCGGTTTCTTTGGTCATGATATCTGTGCTATATTCGGTTTCTGTCCTAGAAATCGTGTGCAGCTTTAGGTACTGCTGGTTCAAGTGCTCTACAAATACGTCTGCCCATTTTATTAGTGTTTTCTCAAGAGTAAACCTGCTTTTTCTTTGGTTCTGTCCTCCATTCTTCTCGTCCATCGTAGACTTCATTAGATTGCCAGTTCATCTGAGTTTCGCTTTGTACATGTTTTGGAGGATCTGGTTGAAAACTAAGTGTTTGTTGAAGGTATAAGCAGAGGTGATTTTCCTGACCTGTTTCTAGCATCTGTATTTCACACGACGTCGTTTAGCATCCTTTGTATGGATTCACAAAGCTCTCAATGTAGTCAGCTCATGTCTGTGAATTTCCGTGTTTATGATCTTCGATTAATTCCTTCATTATAGCCAATTATTATAGTCAATGTGAATATTCGAACAAGATGAAGCTATGACTTTTTGAGAGTTCCAAATCTAGTAAATAAGGGATTTGTTAGTTTGTTATGTAACACACAATGATGTTCCGCAGCGTGACGTTTATGCTCGCAACAAACACTCTTGCGTTGGGAGATTTATTGATTGGAATTTCTTCTAAAGCTTCTGGAGATTTTAATTTTAAAAATATTTTAAAAAGAATGTTATATGGAAGCTGCAAACACAGTTAGAGCGATAGAGTAAATTCCCTTCCATAGATTTCGTCATCCCGAACTCCCGACTACTACATTGATAGAGAAATGATTATATAATACTGAGATATTTGCAAAAGTCCGGACCGCAGATGTCTATGATGAGGATCGAACCTGCTATTACCCTTTCCGGGGGCTGAATACCAATAACTAAAGGCTCAATTCTTTCAGTTTATGGAGAAAATTGGTATCCATGGTGTTGAATTTGTGGATATTTTCTCTTTCGACTCCGAGATGTTGAGCTTCGTACCAACGCCTCAGCTATCAATCATATTATGTTTCCCAGAGAGAAAGGTGAGCTTGGTCATGAACTTGCACCATTTTGACTTCTCTCCAATGTTATGATTAAAGTTGGCTGTAGCTTTTTAGTTGTATGAATCTTCACATTTATGATATTCGCAAAACTTGGACACTTCCAGATCGAACCACAGTTGCTCTTCCCGGGGGCCCGCGTATTACACATCCAACGAGGCCCTTGCTTTGCGTTTCCCGCTGACGGTCGATTGCTCGTGGCAGCGATAGGTGGAAACCTTGCTGAGAGAAACGCAGGTCAAGGGCCTCCGTGGTGTGTATTACGCAAGCCCCCAGAAAGGGTAATCGTGGTTCGATCTGGCCTCAAGGTCCAAGTATTACGAATATCTCAGCATCCATAATGTTGCTAGATGGACGCGTTACTCCCCGGAAAGGACAATAGCGCGTTCGTTCCCCACCTTAGACACCTGCGATCCAGAGTTTTGCAAATATCTCAGCAACATTGTGGTTCTATTTCGCTTAGTACCCTGCCGTGAAAATTGTAGTAGGCAGAAAATAAAAAGTAAAAGATTATCTCAGCGTCGTTGTTATTGTGTTTTCACATCTTACCCTGCCGTGAAAAATTATAGTAGGCAGCAAATAAAAGGTTAGCATTGTGACTTCACATTTATTTTATAGGGATCGAGTCTGTATCAAACAACGTACGATGCTCTTGCCGCATCTGGGGCGTCTGCTCCTCCAGATGTCTTTTTCATGAAGCAGAAAATTGGGAATGCCTGTGGTACATTCGCACTTTTCCATTCTCTTGCAAATTTGGAAGGTGTCATAGATTTAGGTTAATGTTGCTGTTATCGTTAGATCTTTTCCATTTCGAATCTTAGTACATTTTCGCATGCATTGCTCCTCAATTTATTATACTTGCTGTGTTTTACTTTATACTTGTTATTGATGTTGTATATTTTCTAGGTGATGGATCGTTCACCACTTGGTTGAAAGAAGCCAAATCGCTCTCTTCGGAGGAGAGATCGGATTTACTTCTCAAAAGTGAGCCGCCTTTTGTTTTTCATTTATTTTGTCTTAGCTTATGAAGGACTTTGACTTTTTTTGATTTTTTAAACTTTGTGGTTTCGACAAACCAACTCGTATCTCAGTAAAATGCTATATCAAGCAAGATATTCTAAACTACTTTCTTTTTTTTCACTTTCTTTGTAGTGTGCGCTAATCGTAACGCATGAAATGAAATGAGGTCTGTTAAGTAACGTTGTTGGTTCTGAAAATCTTTGTTTGCTTAATTTTGGCATTTATGAAAGGGACTTTTTTGATTACTGGGGCATGGTTCTCACGTTTATTGTACGTTAAATCGCGTTTAATGCCCTGCTCAAAAGAGCACATTTGCCGCAGTGGTCGGAGAAGCCCTCCAATACATATGGGATCGATCCCCGCATCCAAGGTCCACCAGGCCTTCCATCCCTCCAAGGTCGATAAATTGGTACCAGACTTGTCTAGGAGGGTAGCAACGATCGCTCGATACCTCGGTAGACCACCGAGAGTCATAGGGTAGGTATACATTCAACTACCTCCAAGCGATGCCTAAGCCCATCCCTCAGGGATTGATCAACGCCGACAGCTTTTTTAATATCTTGCTCAATTGAACACTTTAGTAACACCAATAGGTGGTTTAAAACCATTTCAAGCACATTATAAAGAACTTTGTAAATCAGCTGCCGTTTTCATCATCCTCATCACACCATCAGGAAAGACCAACTACTGATCTCCTTATCTCATGTCCAAAAATTGACACACAGTGTTGTCGACTCGACTATTGTTCTACGACATTCATTAAGACATTTGAGGTAATCGAAGACCTTTGTGGATGATTAATGTGGGGAAACCAATCGAATGTGAGAAGTGCTAAAATCCGCACAGTAAATATGATGGTGGATTATGCATGATGTAAAGAACATGTCTACAGGAATGATATCAGGAGCACAGATCAGTATTTAAATCATTTCCGTTGAGGGGATTACTGATAACACCAGTGGAATAAAAACGGTTGACAGAAAAGTAAAGCAAGGCACCCGGGTGATGCAATGGATAGAACGTGAGCTCCCGGTAAGACTAATCTCGCGTTGGAAGCTCAGCTGAGGTTCCGAGTTTTGCTGGTATCCTAGTATCCTTGTTATTGTATTTCAACTAATAACCTTCCAGTGAAAAAGAATAGGCAGTGGATAAAAGTTAAATAATATATTCTTGGTTCTACTCCATTTTCTAACTTCTAATTGACAATGATTCCTCCTAACGGTGTACCGCTTCATCGTAGTTGGGAGGTGTTCCTGGGTGTTGCACTGCGATGTACAACGGGAGGATTCGTTCCCACGGCGGGTTCTCCCAAATTGAGAACTGAGAGTCCTGCGTTTCCATCAGGAAACCTAGCTAAGAGTAAACCAGTACCAGGATCCACCACCGTCCTGCTATCAAAGTCGCATGGTGGCAAATCTCCCTTTGATCCACAAGGAGTATGAACGCCTCTGATGGTGAAGACCTGGGGCACACTTTGACCAGGCCGACCTCGGGTTTCCAAAGAACCACAATGGCTTAACCAGCAAATCTCCGAAAAATGGTGGTTGTGCAGTGGCCCGTATATAAGCTGATCTTCCTAAGCTGACGCGAGGTTGGTACAGATTCGTTGTCGTTGTCGTCGTTTTTGATGTTATTGATCGATGGCTGATGTTTCGTCGACTTCGCCTTCCTCAGAGCCTGGACGTATTTTATATTAGAACATTTTTATTATTCGGTGTAAAGAAAGTTAAAGTATTAATAAAGATCAAACTTTCAAATAGATGCCATATTGAACAGAAAGGCCACTCACCGTGATGTTACGTGTTTGACTGGCCCACACGTAGTTCACGTGGGGTCGCGAGCAAGACACAACCCGAGGTCAAAATATTATTTTGAAATAGGGCGCCAGGTCACGCGTGATAGTGAGGCATTCGTCTTTCCGGTCCATCTTTGGATTTTTGAAATTTATCCAAAACGCCTCAAGAGTTTTGCGCGTTGATGTTTTTGATTCCTGCGCTAGGATCCGCACATTCACTTCAAAATCATCCCCGTTGTGCTTTTGTGCCCTATGCGTACCTAGAGGGGTGTTTAACCGGATTTTAGCTTTTCCATCTAGATGCTCTTTTATGCGGACACAAAGTGGTCTACCCGTTTCCCCGATATATTCCTCACCGCATGCGTTTCATGAGATCAAGTATATTATACCTAAACTCATGCAATCGCCGTCTCTCCCGTTAGGACAGATCATACAGTTTTCTGAGCTGCACAAACGATCATAGAGACGGTTTTGAACTAAATGACGGCGTAGGGTATTGGGTGGGATGTCAATAATCGTTAAATAATTTTTAAGACTTTTCCTTAAGCACCTCTTAATGGCGTGACTTACTTCATTTGATATGAAAGTTGGAAATGGCCATTTTTTGTGCTGGCTTTTGGGTTTTGCGATTCCTTCCTTTCCTCTTCTCCTGTACACACATTTTTAGCCGTACGGTGCATGTTTTTGATAAGTGCTTTTTTCATGTTGAATACATTGGGGAAGCGGGTAGACCACTTTGTGTCCACATAAAAGAACATCTAGGTGAGAAAGATAAAATCCGTCTAAACACACCTCTAGGTACGCATAGAGCACAAAAGCAAAACGGCGATAATTTTGAAATGACTGTGCGGATCCTCGCGCAGGAACCAAAAGCATCAACGGGCAAAACTCTTGAGGCGTTTTGGATAAATTTCAAAAATCCAAAGATGAACTGGAAGGACGAATGCCTCACTATCACGCGTGACCTGGCGCCCTATTTCAAAATGATATTTTGACTCCGGGGTGTGTCTTGCTCGCGACCCCACGTGAACTACGTGTGGGCCAGTCAAACACGTAACATCACGGTGAGTGCCCTTTCTGTTCAATATGGCGTCTATTTGAAAACTGAAAAAAAGAAAAATGTTCCAATATAAAATACGTCCAGGCTCTGAGGAAGGCGAACTCGCCGAAACGTCGGCCATCGACCAACAACACCAACAACAACGACAACGACAACGAAGACCTGTACCAACCTCGCGTCAGCTTAAGAAGATCAGTTTATAAGATTATATAAATAAATAAAGATGTCATTGTTACTGCTTGTAACCGAATGACATTCACGAAAAGGGAAATTGCTGTAGTGGTCCGGTGTATTTTCGGTTGTTTCATAATCTTTTCAGCCTACTTTAGTTATAGAATCGGTGTTGAGGTTTACGCGAACTCTGCGTGATCGTGAGATGGGTGGAGTTTGTTAGAAATGGGCTGGTGGCTAAAGACGTCGATCGTGCACTGGTGACTAGAACTGAGTGTCCGATTTTAGCTGCTTTTCAGTTTAATGTCGTTTGTCATGTATTCTGGTTATCGTACCTCATCTAGCCGTTCGCGCTCGATGAAATTCGGAAAGAGTTCATGTCTCAGCACTGTAGTGAATCATTTGTTGAATTAAAAAGTTAAAGAAACCTCTCGGCGTCGATCTATCCCCGAGGGATGCGCCATGTATTCGACTTCATTAGAAATTGTTGGAGGTGATTGAACGCATGTCTAGCCTTTACAATGACTTGTGCTGGCCTATGGATGTATCGAGCCAGTGCTTCTGTCATCTCAAACAAGTCTGGTACCAATTTACTAAGCCCAGAGGAATGATGGGCTTAGTGGGCCTATGGTGCGTGGATCCATCCCATACGTTTTACAGAGCGCCTCTGACCATTGCGTCACGCCCGTTAAACCAAAATGTGAGAATGATGGTTTGAGCATAGAACCAAGAGAACATTTCTGGAATATAATCTTTTTTCGTGCAGTCCATGCGTCACCAGTCGCCTCTTTGTTGAATTAGGATTTCGAATTATTCGTTTTTGTGGTAAAAGATTTCGTGTCAGTGGTTTTCGAGTTATATTGGATGATTCTTTCTTTTGAGAAGAAGTTATAACCTTTAAATTGCTGTGGGAAGTTTCTCGATCCTTTTCATCTGTTAAACCTTTCGTATAAATACAAAAACACTTCGCGTTCGTAAAAACTCGTATAAAAATAAATGAGAAATTATGTCAACCACAAAAAAGGGAATATCTCACATCCTTCTTTTTAAAGTCGAACATTTCATGATGCATAACCTATTTTTGGTAATTGGTGTTATAATTATTGGTTAGGTACACAACTAGCTGGTGCCCATGACGAGGTTGCAAGGATGGGAGAGACTGAGGAACCTTCTGTTGTCGAACATCATTTCATCTGTTACATCGTCAAGAATGGTCACCTTTATGAAATTGGTTGGTTTATTGTGGCGTAGTTGAGTTCTCATTAGGATGTACTTCTAGGTCTTGTACGTGTTTTGGTATAAAATATGTAAACATATACTTAAGACAGTTCCTTTCGTGAGTGTATTTCCACTCATTTCTCGGTCATTTTGCAATTGAAAGGTTTTTTTTGTATTTTTGTATTAGTCCTGTAGCTTACCTAATGCATACCATTTTGCAAGATCATGTAACCTAAAAAACTATCATCAGTCCCGTTGATGGTTGATCGCTGATGACACTGGTAGGTAGAAAACTAGATGACAGAACGCCGAAACGAAGGATCCGCGTGGTTTGGCGGTGAACGCATTACCCTCCAGAAAGGGTAATATCGTGTTCGATTCCTACCGCAGACACCTGTGGTCCGGAGTTTTGCAAATATCTCAGCATCACTATGGTTGTAATTCATATTCTGAATTTATTAATGTGAGATTTCGCATCGGGATTTGGTTGCGGAGGATACCAATGTGTTGCTGCTTGAGCGCACTAAAATTCGATACATGAGATCAGTGCTATTTCTTGCGGTAAAACAGTAAATCATTCAAGAGGCCGTCTAGGTGTATTTGTAGTATAGTTCTAATTAGGAGCGGAAACTTCATCTTGAAAGTCGTAGAATGCTAGTCGAGTAATTCTCCGTGGGGTCCTGAGATAGCCGTGCTGGAGCGTTCCCAATTGGATTGCAGAGAGTGATTTTTTTCAGGCAAGTTCGGTGTGCCAATTTTCCGACACCGGAGGGATGAGCTTGGTTAGCCTGGCGTGGACTCGAACTAGCGCCTGTTATGGCGGACACCACTACCACTGTGCTATCCGTCCCCTTGGAGCAAAAACTATTGTTTGTGAAAGGGTTAGGTATTCACTAACGCTCTCGCTATGTCGCCTAATTTGGCTTTGCACTGACTGTGACTTCTATAGGTGTCACACCGGTAACTTCGGCTTTTTTATGTTTCTCCGTCCACTTCTTTATCATTTCCGTGATATAAATCGGTTCTCCGCTGCGTTTTAGAGAAGCTTCTGCGCTTCTCTTATCCTATGAATGCTTCATTTTCTTCTACACACCACATCGTATTTTTCCTTCATATAAATCTCTTGCATGTAAAGGGAAAACCTTCGTTCACTATGCAATCATATTGCTGTTAGCATTCAGTGAAGTTGTATAAGTTCTGTAAGGAATATTACGATGTTCACCTATTAGTTTTGGTACCCTCTCATTTCAAACAATACCCAAAAGTCATCATAGCGCTTGAATATTAGAAAAACAACTTGTGAAAAATGATGATGCACACTGCATGTTTTGCCAGTTCTTCGAGGCAGAGGTATTACTGCGCCTCTTCACTGGCAACACTCTCTATGCCGCACAGTCTCTTCACGAGCAATTGTTTCTCGTCGCAAAATGGGGAATTAATGGCAAATTGTACAAGAGGACACTCTTTCACGGGCGATGCTAATCATAGCATCTGCATTGGATAAAATGTCGATTGATTACAGGAAGTATTGGAAAAAAAACTTTGCACGAAGGTAAACCATCGGAAAGAAAATGACACTTATATGTCTTAACCGTCACTACGCAAAACCGTTATGACAACTATTGATGTTATTCATTGTGAGAGTGTTAGCCCAAGACGGACGTGCGGCTAGCCCACTAGAATACGTGCAATTCTTCGTTTGTTGAGGTTTATTTGGTTTTTTGACAATAAAAGGTAGTTTTTCACAAACTAAGAGCTTTAGGGATTGTGCAAATGACAGAATTGTGGAAGAGACTCTGCTGAGTTGTTCTATGGGTGTGAGTGATATCACTTTTCACCTGTATCACCTGTAGTCCCATTGATCGTCGAGTGACTCGAGCGAGTGCCAGTAAATTTTCCATTACTCCTTGTCGCGTGCAAGAGTAGTCTAGTGGGTTCTGCTCGCTCTAGGGACTCGTCGAGCATCATATCTTTCTTCCTGGCTTTTCGTGGAGAACTCTAACCATCGAGTCGGTGGTGTTCCTGCAGTGCGTTCTACATCCCGAGGAATCCACTCACTAACGGGTCTTGTTCATCGGTTGTCATTCATACGCATTAGGTGTCTGGTCCACCTTATCTTTGACTGTTTGGCGTACAAAACGGCATCTTTGATTTTTGATCATTGACGCAGATCGGAGCTTCGGATCCCATCCCTTACTTGTGTGGAACAGGATACTCCCAGCATCGCCCTTTCGACTGCGCGTTTGATGACGCTGAGTAGTGTTTCATCCTGTTTACGCAGCGACCAGGTTTCTGACGCATACGTTAGGACAGGAAGTACCGCTAAGTCGAAAAGGTGAGCACGTAGTCGGGTGTTCTTTGTTCTCTTCACAGCAACCCCTATGCTCATGAAAGCTCCCCAAGCCGCTCGTTTCGTTCTGCCCAGCTCTCGAGCTAGGTCGTTCATCATATTGATTTCCCGACCTATATAGACACCACTGGAACATTCGGAGATATTCGTTCCGTTGAGCGTAATTGGGGCCAATCCGAAACCATTCCGGTCTTCATGAACATCGTTTTTATGACATTTAGTCGAAGACCAATCTTTCCACCGGCTTTATCAAAATCGTCAAGCATACGTTCCGCTTGGCTAGTGTTTCGTGTTATAAGGACGATGTCATCAGCAAAGCGAAGGTAGTGTAACTGCCGACCGTCGATTTTCACTCCCATATTATCTCGTTCCAATGTTCGCATGACGTTCTGGAGGCTGCGGTAAATAATTTTGGCGTGATGGTATCGCCTTGCCTAACTCCTCTTTTGAAGTCAATGTTGATATCGTTGTAGAATGGTAATGATTTGGTTGTGAAGTTTTTGTATAGCTCACAAAGTATCGGTATGTACTGAGTAGGGATTTCTTGACTATCAAGATCTTCCATGACTGCATATCTCATTTGAATCAAAGGCCTTCTGTGAATCGATGAAAGTGAGACAGAGCGGTCTTTTGTACTCTCGCGATACTTCAATGAACCGTGTCACTGTGTGGATGTGGTCCATCATACCAAAACCTTTTCGAAACCCTGCTTGCTCACATGGCTGTTCTTCGTTCAGTGTTCTGTCCTGTTTAGGAAGACTCGAGTGAAAAGTTTGTAGACGACAGACAGCAAGCAGATTGGCGATAGTTGCCGATATCGTGAAAGTCACACTTCTTGAACAATTACACGGTCTTGCTGGTCTTCTACTGAGTAGGGACCTTGCATTCGGACAGGTAACTTGTGAAGAGCCGAGCCAGTGTGCTTATGAGGACTGGCGGAAGGTTCTTCAGGTGTTCTGATCTTGTCCTGTCCGGACCTTGTCTGAATGAGTGATGTATATGCAGCTTTTCACTACGTGTTGCTACGGTCTATTGGGCGCGTCTAGCGTTGTCGTTAGGAGAGCCCTGCAATACAGATTGGTTCGATCAAGCGCCCCAGAATATCAGCACTGGCTCGATGCATCGGTAGACCACCGCAAATCATTGAATAGCCCAGATATGCATTTATTCACCTATGACGATTTTTAATAAAGTCGAATACATGGCGCGTTTCTCAAGTACTGGTCAACATTCTAGAGCTTTGTTCTTGACTACGGTACGTTGTGCAAACACATTGCGTTCAACACTTGGAAGTATTTTGCACTGTATGCTGAGTCTATTTCGGTGTTTCTTTTATCCTCGTATTCCGTACAATAACCATTATAATGGAATGAAGTGACATTTGACTGTGAGTCTAATTACCGGTCAATGATTTTTTTAAAAAAATGTTTTTTACTATTCACTCAATGTCGAAGAAGGCGTTTCTGGTCTCACCCCTCCTATATCGATCTTCTTTCGATTTGCTATCGAACCACTGAAGTAAAGTGGAAACCATTGTGTCCACATCGTCTCCGTGGGCCAGTGACGTATGGGCATGATGAGGTCTACAGGGTTGTGGGTTGGTGTGTTTTGTTTTCATTTCCAATTCTCTTAACATTCTATTGAACTAATTTTCCAATCTGAAATGTTTGCAAACTTACAAATCTGTCTGCAAATCTTTTACAAACTATTTACAATCAATTGAAATCTATTACTTAATACTTAGGATCTGAATTCTTCCATTCTTAACCTGCAATGCATGCCTGAGGGTTCCGTTATATGCTCGCTGCCAGGGTCCATTATGAAGGACACGAATCTTAAACTTTTTTTAAATTAAAATTCGAACGGGAGCTCTGATCTCTTTGGTTCGCATCCCGTCCCGCGCATCTATTCAAGTGCTAACTTTGAAGTCACTGATTTTTCTTGTGATAACTATAATGAGTTATACCATCATTGTTTCACTCACACCTCATCTAGCGTGAGGGTCTTCCTACATGCCAAATATAACTAAGCTTTTTGTTTTGGATAAACATCTCTGGACTCATTATGATCTTTGCCAAAATTTTCCTATTCTTGTTTGCTTCTACCAAGATGAAATTCCTATTTTCTGAAGCTTGCGAGATCTATTTTTTTGTCGAAGCTAATAATCCAAGTTTCAATGCAATTTGGGAAGCGGGGCTTTTTTTAACAGTAGAACACGATCGTGTTCTCAGTGTATTAGCTTTATTTCTGGCTTATGCTATTGTTTTATGGATTTTAGAATTGAGTTCCTTCTCCAGTTTTTTTTTCAGAATTTCGAATCTCAAATAAAACATGAAGCTATAGAGCAAAGTCTGTTTTATTATTCAGTCAAGTTCTTAACTTCTGCATTAGTTTAGCTGTTGAAAACTACTGGAAGTTATTGAGAACCGACACCAGCAAATCTACTATTACGAGTTGGTATCAACTCGTCGAGTGCGACGAAAACTTAGGCGTAAAATTGATGTGGTAGCTACACGGATTCAGACTTTGGACCTTAAGTGTTGAAGTCAGACCTAGAAATAACTGCAACTTCGATATCGAAAAGTAGAAACAAGTAGTACTTGCATAATGTAAAAATAATTTTTTGAACCGTAACTTTTAAAATATCGAAATGAGAGCCGCTAAAATCTGTACGTTCTTGTCA